GATGTTCAAGGTGAAATAGTCATCAAAGGGTAATTTTTTTAGTAGGGCAATGAGGTTAGTTTAGATCTTAAGGTTTCATCAGTCGTCTACAAATTCAGCATATACGATATACCTAGTAGGTCACATATTACTGATTGAAATTTCAAGCTTGCCCTTTTGAGCAACATTCGAAATATTCAACGATCTTTGCAGACGAGAGACTTGGGCAAATCAGAAGAGACGGTCAGAGAAAATCGTTTTATAGCAAGTGGCGTTCTTAGGCCTTCAAAATTTGTATTTTTTCAAGCTTTCAAGCATGATTCAGCTTTTGCTTTTTGCTTCTTCGCTGCATATATTTTTTACCATATCCCAGCAATGACAAAATCCGTCTACTGCTTTCAAAAAATTATCACGATTAGCAGCGAACTGTCTCGTGAAATCTGCATATAAAAATTGAATTTCCTTTCTATTCTCTTGCCTTGTTCTCCACATTTTTTTATATCCAAACATCGTTGAATTTCTCGGCTGAGTCTACAAAGCAAAAGTCTTTAAAATTTTAGTGATTGATCTGTCGCCTAGGTAGATAACATACTCAAAATTTGAAGAAGATCTCCGAGCAGAAATTCGGGTACTAAACATTTGATTTTTCACAATCTACAGGACACTTTGTACTCTTTTGTTCTCAACAACTCTTCTGAAAACCCCTGCCTTCTATAGGCATAGGGAATCTACTCTCATATATACACAAATTTTCTAAATTTACTCTACACAGGTTTTACTGTCGACCTATCCGATCACTATCCCATTTCCTACAGTAACCTTCTCTCCACTTGTTTCCAGCGCCTCTCGCTCGCGTTACTGACCTCGAAACAGTTCTCCCTTCTTCTTTCTTTATTATAGTTGCATATGTCTCCGCTACTCGCAATGCATATGGCAGGCAACAATCTCCAAGACCAGATAAACTGACTTAGCGCGATAAAAAGCGCGCGGGTCAATTGCCTCGTTTTATAGTATACAAAAAATGGAGGGAATACCCTCTTCGGCGTTCATTTGGCTCCGACTTATTTATTTTTTCGGTTACAAAGTAATGCGCGTCGCTTTTTCTGCGTGCCGTTGACAAACTTTGGGGTCGGAGAAAGGGGGCGAGGGGTTTATGCAAATTATGAGTAGAACGGACTAAACTTTGTTTGGGAAGAGTGCTGATCTTGGGAGACTTTTCAATTTTTATACAGTAACACAAAATGTTACTGGGGAAAAACAAAAAAATGCATTAATTTGATATCTTTAGATGTTTTTGGTCGCCTATGCAAATACGACTAAAATCAAGTCGTATTTTTATAGGAATTTTGAAGTTTTGTAAATCTTTATGGCCTAGGAATAATAAAACATGACATATTCATTTGTCTTTGGCCTTCACTATAACCTAGTTATCTTGTATATTTTCACTGGAAAATCTCTGTTACAAATATACATATTTTGCCTCTTATCTAATGATATTATCAATTTTTTCTTACACCAAAATTACTGCCTTGTTTGGTCAGTAATCCGACCAGAATTTTCTGCAATAATTGTGAAGCGAGCAGTGGAAAATGTACCTACTCATTAACGGAAGTAGTAAAAGTTTGAGCAGCGGTTAATGAGTTGTTTTTTCATCCAATTTTCATTTTGTATTTTTCTTGCATTCAAAGTGCCATGTTTTCAAAAAAAAGTCTGCCTCAAATTTAATTATTATATTCTGTTATTGTAATTTACTTTTGAACCTTTGCAATCACTCTAGGAAGCGAAAAAATACTAAAAATTGTAAGTATGGCACTTTTCTCATCGAAAAACTTGATAGTTTTTGCAAATCATGAGCTAGTGCAATGCGCGGGATGTGTTGTATCTTTGAAAATTGCGGCCTTTATGTCCCTAATATCATCAAAATTGTTTCGCATGCTATTACCATAATTTTTTCCCTTAGTAAACGCCACTTCTATACCGTATTCTTCGCTGCTACCCCAATTATTTTGCCGTCAAAATATCTCTTTTGTAATCGCTACTTCTCCCATTCAAATCTCCTTCTTTATATTTCTCTCGCTTACCTTGACAAATTATGATAACTTTTTATTGGAATTCTCCGATCAAATTATCTTCCCATTCATTCCATTTCCAGTGGGTCGACGGCCTTGCGTTGATATCGCGAACCGAAAGTAGGCCAGTCCGCGGCATTACAGCCCTCCCCTACTACTCGCCCACCGACGATCGGGCGCGATCTCTCTCGTTTTATTATTTGCGCCTGGAAATATCCGCCGTCTTCGTCGGCGATTATGCCGCCACAGTATTTGCATATTTTCGATGTATCAGGCTTTACATTTTCGTCTTCGTTTTGCCGCTTCTTCTTCGTAATACCGACGTTTGCGGGGGGTACCCGGGATTGAGGCGAAGGAAGAGTTTACGACCGGATTTGGGGCAAAAGGGCTAGGATTTAGGCATTTTTTTATGAATATGCAAACTCTACCATAAAAATTTGGCCAAATTTTTGGAGTATTTACATATATTTACTTCTTAGGGCACTATAGCTACATGGTTAATATAATTGATATTTCTGTTCTTTCTCTCTGTCAAAAAATTTGACAAAGATTAGAATGAGATATTCTAGATTATCTTCTGTTACTTTGCTACACATAATTTTTACATTTTCTCACATTACTCAATCAAAAATTCAAAAATAAAAACCCCCTCAACTATGCAATCTCTCCCCAAAAAAGCCTTTCAGTACCTTTTAATATCGCTTATGCAACCCACCAAATTACCTTCAGCTATACTCTCAACCCTTCTAGATGCCCCAACTTACTTTCTTTCTTCATTTTATTACGCCGTCTTATCTCCGCAGTAATTACAGTAACCCAATGTTATCGCAGAGAAAAAGTTTTGATTTGTTTACTTAATACTCCTCGTTTATAATCAACTCAATTTTCTTGTCCTTTGTATAGGAAACACAATCCAATAATCGGGGGCCGCGGGATTTATCCGGCTAACAATCTGGAGATCCGTTCGCATCCCCCACCGGATATGTTTATAAACATTTGTTTAATGTTATTATGCTTTTGTCGATCAGTAGTGATTTTGAATATGAAGCCAGAGAGCTGACAGAGCTCTCGGCTCAGTAATCGACAGGAATTTCCGGCGGATCTGCGATTTTTAGATATTTTTTTATATTGTACTAGTCATCTGATCTAAAATCAGGAGAAAGGTCAAATGGAGATTCGTAGCCTTCACAAATGTGTTGTAAATTACAAATAGTGTCTTTAAGTAATAGTAATAGTCTATTTCATATTTGATTTATTCCGTTTTTAGAATATTATGTACAATTAATGTTGTAGTAGTCATCTGATTTAAGACAAGGTCGGATTGGCCTAATAAGCTCTTTTATTAGGTGTTTGCGGTTTATAAATTGACAACAAAGGTTCACAATTAGTACTACTAATCTTCAGTACTGTCACGCTTACTAACTTTGTGCTTGTTATGGGTGATTTACATCGGACTAGACATGGCTGGGGGGCCGGGCCGGGCCGAAAATCGCGGCCCGGCCCGGGGGCCGGAAGAGGTCGGCCCGGCCCCGGCCCCCTTCAAATTTTCTCGGCCCGGCCCGGCCCGGCCCCCTGGGGGCCGGGCCGGGCCGGGGGCCGACCGGGGGCCGAACTGTAAGGGTAAATACTGCATTCATTACGGGATATAACACATTTTTTTGGGGCTTTGGTAGTTCAGCCCCCCACGAAAGGTAGTTCAAACCCCCCACTGTTTTGTCCATTTCACACACCCCATAATTAAAAAATTAGAATAATACAAAAAATGGAAATTAGAGTAAAATGACCCCCGGCATTTTAGCTCAAACCCCCAGTTACCGTCCAAATTCGTTCTTGTGGTTCAGGCAACGATGGTCGCAGCCGAGAGAACCCAAAAATGTAGGCGCTTCAGATTGGATGAAGGGGTTTATACTGGGTCAAGGGGGCTGAACTGGACTGGGGGGTTGTGCTACCTTATCCCCCATATTTTTATTATAACAATCGAAAAAAAAAAATTGAAACAAAAAATTACCAACCATTGCCATACTTCAAAAGACCCAATCTTGGTTCTGCGTTTTATTTTTATTGGCAACCCTAATTTTCGCTTGAGACAGAATTTTAGTTTGGGGGCCGATTGGGGGCCTGGCGGGGGCCCCCGGTCGGCCCGGCCCGGGGGCCGGAAGAGGTCGGCCCGGCCCCGGGGCCTTTAAAACTCGTTCGGCCCGGCCCAGCCCGGCCCCCCGGGGGGCTGGGCCGGGCCGGCCCGGCCCACTAGCCATGTCTACATCGGACTAGATATTTGCTCTAAAGTAAAGTCAGAATGGAATAGAAAAATTATTTCCTGCTGAAAAAAATGTATCTGAATCTCTAGCGAAGACCCTTCACGGCAGTTACAGCTCAAGCAGGCGTGTTTTATAAATAACACCTTTAGACGATTCGCGCACTTTGCATCGATTGAAGTCGGACGAAATGTCACAAAATAATTTTTCGCAGGGTTTTTTGCGAAAAAATCCGCGAAACTTTTATTTTTTTTTTGTCAATCATACTCAGAAGAGATACATTTCTCTTCAGCCATGTACTGGAAGCCCGAAATTTCTTTTTCCCTTCGATTTTGTTGATTTTTTGGGGTTTTTATATTACACTGGACATCAATTCTAAAATAAGGTCAATTCAAGGTAATAAACTCGATTTTCGATCAGAAACCATTTTGAAAATTTTTGTACACGGCATAAAAAGTATTCTTATTTCATTTTGTTCCCATGAAAACCCCGAATTTTTGGCTAATATTCTGCTTTTAGGCATCTTTCTATTTTTGACCTGGTCTGGAAATTCTTTTACAGTTTTCTGCTCAAACTATTTTCCAAATGCCCTCCGTGACCCAGTTTTTCTTTATCAAGATCATCGATCGCGCCAATATTACTTTTTTCCCGTCTTCCAACTGATTTTATATTATTTTAGGTAACAAATTATCGGAAAATGGAAGATTACGCGGATATCGGGCTGAATCTGCAAAATATCCTAGCTGCAACTTCCTTACCTCCTCTCAACGTCCCTATGGACTCGCCATGCAGCTCCATGACGGCGTCTGGCTCCAAAACTTCGCCCAGTTCCTCGTCTCCGGCTTCAGCGGGCGCTGTGGACAACTTGGCCAATCTTTTGTTGGACAAAGCCATCCGAGCGCAAGGGCAAAAGATTCTGACGGAGAATCAGCATGCTGTCGGGAATATTGACCTGTCCCTTTTCGATCCCTCCAGTCCCTCGGAGCCGAAGAAGAAGCGAAAAAGAACGAAGAGGAATCCCGTCTGGAACTTTTTCAACACCGACGAAGAGCATGTGGCATATTGTCAGCGATGCGATTACAGTACGAAGAGTGCGTTCAGTACGAATTTGAAGATCCATTTGAGGTGCCATCACAATGAAACGTTCCAGGTGGTAAGTATAATGTTTTTTGAGGAAATGGACGATTTTTAAAAGTAATTCTAACGCCATGTGGTTTATTTTTGAAGTAGAAGGGATAATTTTGATAATTAATTACGTTTGAGGGGGAAAAATACGAAAGTAATGTTATAATAGGTATTTTGACCTTATTTTAGGTAATAAATTCTCGATTTTTTAAAAGTTTCTAGTTTTTTTATGCGTAGGAACAAATTAGACTTCAAAATTGTATTTTCGTCAAAATCGCCAGCTATTTCGATGCAATTTTTGCAAAAATTATATTATTTTAGCTATCTGGGACCTTATTTTAGATAATAAATTTTTGATTTTGTGAAACTTTTTAGTTTTTTTATGCGTAGAGACAAATTTGACTTCGGAATTGTATTTTCATCCAAATCGATCATTGTTTGAACACAATTTTTCACAAAAATTATATTATTTTAGCTATCTGGGATCTTATTTTAGGTAATAAAATTTTTACTTTGCAAAACTTTCTAGGGTTTTTGATGCGTAGGTACAAATTAGACTTCAAAATTGTATTTTCGTCCAAATCGGTAGTTGTTTTGACACAATTTTTCACAAAAATTATATTATTTTAGCCCTCTCGGACATTATTTTAGGCAAAAACTGATGATTTTCTTTCAGGTCCAAGAAATGGAACGTCAAATCTACGAAAACCAACTCTCTCAGAACTTGATCAAAGCCAAACCGGAAACGCCAAAGCCCAAAGCATCCACTCCGGATGAGAATGAAAATGCCGAGGAAAACAACAGTAAGTTACAGTAATCCCCCAAATTTTTTGCAATTTTCGGATACTGAAATACAGCTTTATATTGTATTTTTCATCAGTTTCCGGTCCAGAAATCCCACTTTTATAGCAAAAAGTATTTTTATTCGAAAAATATTTATCTCCGATTTTAATCGTGGGATTAATGGCTATGAACTGTAAAGTTGTTTCTTCAAATATTTTCTCAAACAGTCAGGAATCGGTGGCCGCTCCGATAAAGGGCCCGAGATTAAGTGTTTTTTACAATAGGACTAAACGTTTGGGGTGGGATCCTGAGGGGATTAGGAGATGAAATTGTCTTTTAATACGGCTCAAAACAGTTAGTTAAGTTAATTGGCTTATATAAGGAGAATTACTGTAGTCTCTTGTGGCTAAATCTGTCATTTTTGTTTAGATTTGTGCTAAAATTTATATTACACTTGATATTCTAAATTGATTTTTGGTATTATTCAGAGTCTAACACTGATTGATTGGTTGAATATCGACTTAATATTCGATTTGATCACTCTCTTCGCTATTCTGGAGGGTCTGACGTCAGTTCTTATCAAAAAATTATATTACACTTGAAATCAAAATTTAATTTTTGATATTATTTTGGCTACAATCATCTCTATTGTTGCTTAAATACACTATCCAACTACTGTATTATCTTAAATCCAGATTTTTGCACTATTTCTGACCAAAAAATTATATTATACTAGACATCAGCCCTAAAAAATTTAACAAAAATTGTCTAATTTTCCTAAATTATGATCTATAATGGCCCCATATTTGCAGTCAGCGGATTTAGCCAGCAATTGCTGAGTTTGTTCAACACACCGGACTCCAAAAATACTTCGATGACTGATGGAGAAGGCAGTAAGAGGAAGCGAAATAGAAAGCATCCAGTATGGAAATACTTTGGGGATGTCAGTGATAAGGTGAGCAGATTATTTTGAGATGGCTTTGACGTTGGTTGGAAGGGTTTTGAGAAAGATTTTAGGGATTTTTGGCTATAATGAGATCAAAATTGCCTTATTTAAGCAAACTATTGTAATTTACTGCAGGTAATGATAATATAGAAAGATAAAAAAGGTCCTTTAAGGCTTTTTTGAGGTGTCTTCTATATATTTTAACATTTTTTTGCAACGAAATTCCTCGGAAAAACACTTTTTTGACCTTGTTTTACCTACTGTTTTATCCAATTTTCAGGTGGTCGGATGCAATATGTGCGAGTTCCGGACGAATTCAGCATTCAGTACGAACCTCAAAATGCACCTCAAATCACATCACAAGGAAGAATTTATCGATGTAATGGATCAGGAAATTGAGTTGTTGAAGAGAGAAGGAGACCAACCTCAAGAACAAGAAGGAAAGAGGAGGAGAAGGACTGTCGCTGAGCTCGAAGGAATTGTCGAGAGATGTAGAATGAGTATGCAGAAGGAGAAGGCCAAGAACTCCTCGCAAACACCGGCATTGTAAGTTTTTGGAAAGATTTTTAGGATTTTGATGAAATTCTGGGGGAAATGGAGTTTTTGAGATTTTGATATGAGAATATGGTATTATTTATTGTATGTAGAGATGATTTATGGGGTACTGGTCGGAGGAAAGATTGATTCAAAGAAGTTTTGACTTGTTTTGGAGGGAATATAAGCGATTGATTGAGAGTAGATAGAGTTAATGTCAAGTATAATATAAATTATTGCCTGGCGTTACCGAAATTTTAAGTTTGACTGTTTTCAAAGACTTTTTCAAGCTCTTAGAAGCCTCATTTGACAAATTTTACGAAAAATATTTTCAAGGTTCACTAAAAATATCAAAATTTTGGCCCTTTGAATGTTTTTGAAGCCAAGATTACCATAAGTTAATCTAATTTTCTGATCTTATTGGCTTCGCCATAAATCGTTATATTTATATTTCTTTTGCTTTGAAACCTCTAAAAATTCCAGTAAATCCCCGAAAAGTTCACACGCCAAAAAAAATTTGAAGCCACAAAATTCGCAACAATTTTTTGTTTACAGTTTTGAGATTAGGGGGCTTATAAAGATGGCTACGGTGTATTTCCGGAGTAAATTTTGCAGCGACGGATGAGTGGGTTGTACGACAGCGTAGGTTAGAATTTACGGCCAAGTTTTATATTGTAGTAGATATCAATGGGTAGTTTTTGAATTTTTTGATGATTGCTGATATTGTTGATAGTAGAAAGGCTTACAATAGTATCCCTTATAGAATTTACGATCTAAAAATTGAATTTTCAGAGCAGCCGCATTGTCAAGCCCTTCAAGGAACCTTCTTTTTTCCCAAATGGACATGTTCCGAGACCCCTCGATGCCTCAACTGAATAATGTTCAGCCGGTGAATACTAACAATGATGTTGAAGATATCCCCAATCTGTCACCAGAAGCCGAACCGGTGAATCTAAAGAATGCGTATGAAAATATCCCTCAAGGATTAAATCCGACATTGGACTTTGTCTTGAAGAACATGATTAAGAACGCAGCACTAAACGGGCTTGTTCAATCGATGGGAAGTGATGAGATTTTGAAAAATAAGGCCTTTAGAGTAAGTGGATATCATTTTTGGATCCATTTTATTTTTGGGATTTTGGAATTGTTATTTTTCCCGAATTTTTTGATAATTTTTTTATTTTCAGGATTTTGTCAATATTTTGGACCCCAATTTCGACCTTCCAACGACTCTTCCCACATCCTAAGAGCTCCTTGCACCATTTCAAATATCTATTTGTACTTAATTAGCCCTTAGGTAGAATAATTTTTACTAGTTATGAGTTTCACTCCCATTTTTTCAAGTTCTTGGCTGGAAATCTCGATTTTTTCTCTTTTTTCTCCCAAACTTTCCTCTTGAAATCTACCTCATACGAATAGAAATGCAATACATATTGTAACACGTCCATTTCACTGCATTTGAAACTGTTTCCATAAGGTTTTGGATCTTTTTTTAATAAAATTTTGTTTTAACAGTCATGGAGAATATAATTGATGAAATTTTGGGGAAAATTGAAAGGAAACATGTTGATAATGAATACAAAAGAGGTTTGTGAAGTGGATTAGAGACTGAAAAGAATTCTGGACTATAAACAAGGTCTAGGATTTGGTGGGGGACACAATATTATCCATGACAAACTGTTTGTACCACTTTCTAATCGGAACTGGGACGATTGGGGAAAACGGTATCGTTGACCCGAAATGTCGGTGACCCGAGGTGTCGTTGACCCGAAGTGTGGCGACCCGATCTGTCCCTGGCCCGAAATGGTGGCGGGAAGGGATTTGGAATGCAGATTCCGTCAAAACAGATGAATCCAACCGGGCAAGTAACAAAACTGACACACTCTAAAATAAAAAAAAAATTAATCGTCATTCCCTTTTTACTAGCTCCTCCGGAAAGTCACCGGGCTGAGATCGGGGACCAAATGCGCTAACTTAAACTTCGCTGAAATGGTAGTAGCTCGGAAAGCAAGCTATCGCAGCTCGCCGAAGCCAAGTTTCAGCTTGTTTTCGAGTTGCGATATGCCCATCCTGAAACCGAATATTCCTACCCATCGTATCCATGCTGATTTGGGTTGTCCGGGCCAAATTGAAAATAGAGAGAAACACAAGAATCAAAATTAGCGATCGCATAATTGGACAGGGCTAACTGTACAAGTGACCTTCAATGGGGTTATATGTTTTTATATGCCTCTGGCTATGCAAATGCTATTGGATGAACAATAGGATTGAGTCATTTTTCAAAGCTTTTCGATTTTTTTGGACAAAAGAATGACATTTGTCCCCTGCACAGCATTCCGAACTTTTTTCGCCGCCGATCGGTGTCCAAAAAAATGAAAAATTAAAAAGTGCACATTACATTTTCATGTGTGTAAGGGTAGCCAGAAGAGATACCGGCAAAAACAAAAACTCTTTATGTAGAGTAATCAATTTCCTTTCAGAGTATGTAAGTTTTGTCTTCAGGTTGTCCGCTACCTTTGAGAAAATCGTCACTAAAAAAATGGAAATTTCGATTTTGAATGCCAAAAAAATGTACTTTCTTGGGGCCACCAAAAAAGATGTTGGAGTCTATCGTAAAGAGAATTTCAAGGGCTACAACATATTAAAATTTCAAGATTTTTGTGGGGGTTTAAGCCAAGTTAGAGTGAAAAAACCCTTGATTTTGCACTTTTTCTCGATTTGTTTGCACTTTTAGTGCAAAAATAAAAAACCATCCGTGGGCGATGGAATCTGTATGTCATGTCGGATATTCATGCCAAATTTGAAGCTTCGCCGACGCTCCGGAGTCGCTGAATATCCGTTTAAATACGAAACCTTAGAGTACTATTTCTATTGTTTGAAGTCGCTTTATCTGCTCCAAGATACCTTTTGATCAAGAGTATATTGTCTATATACAGTGTATAACAACTTCTTATCATTTACTCACGATATATTTTTTTCATTTCGAAAATTGAATTTGGCAGAAAATCCTTCACAGAGCCAATTTTTTGTTGCAACAACCAATTAAATTAACCGCCAAGCTGAGTTAGACTTTTGCAATTAAGTCGTTATGCAGTTGTTATACACTGTATACAGGCAGTATATTTTTGATCAAAAGGGATCTTGGAGCACATAAAGCGATTTCAAACGACAGAAATAGTACTCTAAGGTTTCGTATTTAAACGGATATTCAGCGACTCCGGAGCGTCGGCGAAGCTTCAAATTTGGCATGAATATCCGACATGACACACAGATTCCATCGCCCACGGATGGTTTTTTATTTTTGCACTAAAAGTGCAAACAAATCGAGAAAAAGTGCAAAATCAGGGGTTTTTTCACTCTAACTTGGCTTAAACCCCCACAAAAATCTTGAAATTTTAATATGTTGTAGCCCTTGAAATTCTCTTTACGATAGACTCCAACATCTTTTTTGGTGGCCCCAAGAAAGTACATTTTTTTGGCATTCAAAATCGAAATTTCCATTTTTTTAGTGACGATTTTCTCAAAGGTAGCGGACAACCTGAAGACAAAACTTACATACTCTGAAAGGAAATTGATTACTCTACATAAAGAGTTTTTGTTTTTGATGGTATCTCTTCTGGCTACCCTTACACACATGAAAATGTAATGTGCACTTTTTAATTTTTCATTTTTTTGGACACCGATCGGCGGCGAAAAAAGTTCGGAATGCTGTGCCCTGTATCAAACTATTCATTTGAAAAGGTCAAAGAATCCAAAAAAAAATTTCCCTAAAAAAATTTGAGTTTTTGATCACGGATAAAATAAAATAATATCAAATTGGCATAAAATTTCGAGTTTATCGTTAGTCACAGTATGTTTACATGGGATGAAGAGATATAATACAGATTATTTGCCGAGCAGTTGCGTGGTGCTATCGGCAGTTTGGCAGTAAGTGGCGGTCTCTTGGAACAGGGTGGTGCTTCCGTCCTCCTTCTCAAATTGCGCGATCAGAATGTGGGCCAAGAGGATCGGGACAGAGATGGTTCCAAGCCGGGCAGTCAGGTCCTTGTGTCTCTCCAATCCTCGACATTCCAGGAGCTCGATTTTGGCATCACGCGACGTAGGTTCCGTAGTGACGTTGAAGAACATCTCCTGCTTCTCATCGAAGATGCTCACAACCTTCACCATGTCCTCTTCTCGCAAACGCACCTTGCAGCCGGTAAGGTGCTGGACAGCGAACATATATCGCCGAATTAAACGTCGTCTTTCGGTGATGTCTTCCTGCAGGTCTTTGATTTTGGCTTGAAGGCCTTTGCATTCGAGGCAATCTGTTGGGTCAAAGCTCTTAGCGGACGATCCTGAAGAGCTCTGGAAAAAGGACATAAATTTCCAAACAAAAAAAAACAAAAAAAATTACCATCGCGATATTACACTAGACAATAGATCGAAAAACCCCTCACCATACTCTGAAGTCCTGTTGATCGTCGATGAGCCGTCTCTATAGGATTGTCCTTGAGGAATCTGACGATTTGCGTGGCATCCGGGTCTCTGGCTGGCCGATTTTCCTTCTAAACTTCAATTTCAATAAGAAAAAACTGAACATACCGCTTCCAGTTGGTCCTGCAAGCTTTTAACCTCTTCCAGAGCTGATTCCAACTGGTTGTTGAGTTCTTTGGCCTGTTGTTGTAATTGGGCGATCTGCCTGTCCTTCTCCGCGATTCCGTCCTGAATTTCCGACGAAGCTGTTGCTGAAGATCCTGGGCCTTTCTTCAGCATCGACTCTAATTGCTGGACCTTCCGTTTCCCGAAAGCCACCTCCACTCTGAGTTCTTTTATTTCGGCCTCCAACTCTCGGTTCTTCTCCTCCAAAGACTTCGACTTCGGCTCGTCTTTGACGACCCGGTTTGGGTACATGTACTTCGCGAACTGACGTTCACATTCCAGATCCACCTCGGCCATTTCCCTCAGCAATTCGTCGGACATTTCCTCTAGAAATAAAACAATCAGTTTCAAGTCTAAAACAATATAAAAACACTCTCATTCCGATCATTATTCACTATAAATTCCTTCGTAAAACCGTCGGAGACCTTCATCGAAAAGGAAAATGACCTAAACTCCCAAAAACAACATCAAAAACGAGCTTACCACGGCTTAGTAAAAGTTGGTATCCTCCTGGATTAAGTGTCATGTCCAAGGAGGACAAATTTGGCAGGTCAGAGCCGGATTCCTCCATGTTCTGTTCCAAAACGACCAACTGCGTGCACTGGGTAACAAAAATGGAAGAGAAAAACGTTTGGAAGAGAAATTTCGCGGTTCGAGTTGCGCCCAGGCTTTGCCGCAGACTGCGGAGACATTTTATACGATGCATGCAAAGTTTGGGAGTTGGGTTAAAAATGACAGAATCTTGTTCTTCTGGCGTTCGATGGTCTTGCTTTCAAATCAGAAAAAAATTAATAAGATTTTAAAAATCAGCACCATCGCAAAACCCCCCCAATCGAGTATTTATGAAAAAAATTCAAAAAATTACTACTTTACAGTACTACGTAAGGAAAAAAGTAAAGATCAAAAAGATGAATGTCATTTTCAAAATAAGCACCCTCAATTATCCTAACTTCGACACTTGCATCGAACAAAAATCATACTTTTCGGTTTCCCGAATCGTCCAACTCCCTTTCTAATATATGTAATATTATCATGCTCCATTTATTCCAACAAAAAATTCTGATTATTAGATGGCCTTTGTTATATACGATATACAAGCGGTGGTTTACACTTTTGTCGAGGTAGTTTGCGCTTCCGGCTTCGGCGTCGTTGTGGGCGGACTGATTTTGGTCGAGTTCCCCGGGGGAATCGAGAGTTTCGGGGGGATCGTCGATTTTCCACTCATTTCCTTCGGTTTTGGACTTGTAATCGTTGTTACAATAAAGTTCTTCTCTTGATTAGCAGGTTTATTGGGAGTTCCAGGAGTAGTGCTCTTAACACTCGGCAAGTTTACCGGGGATTTTGTAGTTTTGGCCACTTTTTTGTCGTGTTTTGGGTGTTTTCGGCTTTTGGAAGTGAGCCTGGGCCCTTTATTGCTGCCAAAGTTGGGGCGGACCAAGTGAAACACACTCTCCTTGCTGTTAATCGGCTCTTCCGTTGTTAGTGCGTCCGTTGCGTCATCATTTACGGGCTCAAACACGTTGTAATTGCTGTAGCCACAACAATTCGGGCGTTGATACGCATTCCAGGTCCCATAATACTGTGGATACGATGAGAAGTGATGTTTAGCAAATTCGAAATGAGATTTTGACTCTTCAGGCTCGGTATTATGCCCTCCGGACACTTGATAATAGTTGTTGTTTACGGTAGGCGGGTTGTTCGTAAAACTATTGAGCAAATGCGAATGTAAGTCAGTGTTGGTGGCCTCTTTTGTATTCTTATTGCTCCCATAACCACCGCCATAATAATTGTCCGGCCCGTAGCCATCGTCCGGATCTGCTGTATCAGTGGCGGCTCCATAATTATACCCGCCACAGCCGGTCTGAACACCAGTTTGTGCCGGAATACTGTTCTGAACACAAGCCGGATCGAACGCTGAGCCACATTGACACATATTGCAGCAATTGGGCCCGCTATAGCCTTGTCCGAACATACGATTCCGCAAGGCTAGAGCGTAATTATTTGCAGCTCCCGCACCAGGTGGGCCATAGTTGGCGGCGTTCAAGTAGTTGAGGTTACCGTAGCCTGGCAGAGAATTGGTATTGACGGTGTTATAGGTGCTCTCCGTGGGCTTCTCGCCATGCTGCTGGGCCCAATTTTCGACGTAGTTGAGGTATTCGCGATTGCCCTCTAAAAAACTGATTTTGAGAAGAAAAAGTGGGGAATTTAAGATCAAAAACGAAGTTGAGTATGATACAGTAATTCTGAGAGTTTATTACAGAAAAAGGGATTTGCTTTCAGGTAATTATCTCATTGATTTCTTACAAAATCATCAAATTTTTGGCGATTTCTGAACTTATTTTGGTCAAAAATTGTGTTATGGGAAAGTCTTAGACGAAAGCGTACATTAGAAACACGTAAAGTTAGAGTAAAATACGAACTTGGAAAATTTCCGAACTTATAAATCCCGAAAATTTCTTAAAATCATTTAAAAAAATCTTTTTTTCAGTCAAAATTAAACTTTTTTCATAAGTAACATGACTTTTAGAGCTCTGCATAAACTGAAAATTATAAATCCCGCACCTTCATCATCCTTGTCTTCATGTTTTGAACCCATTTTATGGTAATGAACTTGTTTGCTTTTGTCTTTCCCATCCTTGGCTAGCAACTTCTCCGAGACCTTGGAGTAAAATTTGAGTAGCTGTTCAATGTGATGCTGAGTTAACTCTGAAATTATCGGCGTTGCCTTTGAAATAGAGGAAATGTCATAGATTTTAGGATTTTCGGCCAAATTTATATTGTAGTAGGTAGTAAATAAAAAAAAGTTATAATTTATAAAACAAAACAGGTCTTATTGTATATCTCAGCGTATTACTCTACCTTTGAGCCCCTCGTCTTCTGATTTCGCCTTCAAATCCGAGTCCTTGGCTCTTCTTTTCTCTGATTTTTCCTTTTTCTTGGACTCCACTGGCGCTAACATAAGCAATGTTTTGAACTCCGGTGTGAGACCACTGGTGTATTCCTAAAATAAATAAATTGTCAACTGCAAAATTAATGCTATTTACTTCGACATCCTCAAAGAAAGTTCGATTTCTGTCGACTTCTGTCACCGTAGGATCCGTTGTGGAATTGGTCTCTGAAAAGGCGTGAGTCATCATGAATAATATGTGATTTGAAAGGGATAGCCAATGTTTTATGGCGATTTTTTGACGTCATAATATAGATTTTGTTCTGGGCTTTGATTTTGGGCTAAAATCGATTAAAATCTTTTTGATTTTTTTTTTGAAATTTGAGGCTTACATAATGAAGATGACTATTGATAAAAGTGATATTTAAACCCAATTTGAGAGGTAAAATTACCATCATTCCGATGGTCCATTACGTTCACAATATTACAAGTCCAATACTGACAATATAAACGGCCGATGACTAATTAATTCCCCCAAAAATCCCAAATTTTCCCAAAAATGATGACATTTCCACAAATCCCCCCAAACTTTGCCGAAACCGCTCTACCTTTATCACATTCCACTTCCATGACCAGCAGCATCAGCCAGTATATTAGCAACTTCATTTCCAGGCTCCCGCAAAACCAGAATCCCGCGGAAGATGTGCGGATCATCTTCGTTTTGGGGATATATTTGTTGTTTGGACTCCTCCCCGCCGAGAAGCGAGGTCCCCTCTGGAGAAGATGTGCATTTCCGGATCGGAGAGGGGAAGCGAACGAAAAATCAACCTGAGGTCACGGAAGTCCCAACGGGGTTTGTGTAGGGAACGATTGTTGAAAAATTAGCGGGGTTCATTTTGGGAAATTTTCTCGAAATTTCTACGCATGGAGAAGATAAAAGTTGAATTTTAGAGGGGATGTAGGTGAAATAGAAGGTTTAAACGTTGTAAATAGGCGGATTAGGGACTCTAGATCATATTCTGGAAGCGGAATTCTTTATTTAATTTCCTTGCCCTCTGGCATATTCATCTTTTTGATGGCATTCATCTTTTCGGATGGATAAGTTGAACATGGTTTTTAGAGGGGTTGCAGATAACCAATGATTGTAAAATTTATCCATGAAATTTCTGATAACGTATATATCAAAAAAATATTTTTGGTATAGACTTTCATCCAGAGCTGAACATACGGCAACCCATTTTTTGACCTTAACTTCCATTATGATGGATAAGTTGAAGAGCGATTTTAGGTGGGTTCTTCGGTCACTGGAGGGCCACGCCTTGGTTAATACATAGATTATGGCCTATACGTCATGTAAACGTTGCAGGTACCCGCTGTTACAACCTTTAACCCGTAGGCGATAAAATTTTTTAACCTTACTTTAGATGATTTCAGTGATGTTTGATGGCCTCACAAATGAAGTTATCGACTAAATACATCCCTGAAACTTCAGGAAAATCTCCGACCTAACACATATTTCACGAAAAACTCGATTCTTTTCCCAAAACATTTCTAATACACGTTACTTTAATGACACAACAGGCATAGGAATATGTAGAAACAGATTATGTGAAAGCAGAATGTTAACAGACAGATATAAACATGGAAGATTGAGAAAGATGGCAAAGGTTGTTCCGCAAATTAATTAATTTGGTCGTTCGAGGCAGTCGAGAATACAGTCTTATCTTATCCGCACTTGCACTTCTTTTTGGTGGACTTTGGTTGAGGTCGGCCCAGTCGGATACCCTCCGCTTGCTCTTGTGCTGCCGTGGACAATTTGAGTTTTAAAGCGATTTCGGTGAGGTCGGTAAAGATCTGAAAGGATTTAGAGATGATTTTTGGGACAAAAATTCAGGTTATTTGTCATGGATAACATCAAATTGACTAAAATTTTACAAAATCCACACCAAATCTGATAAATAGTGCTATCTAAAGATACCAGAATCCATCATGTTGGCTAAAATATCATCAACAAAGCGACATTTGAATCCAAAATATAAAATTTTTTAGCTCAAAAATTACGGCTATTATCCATTACAAACAACCTTCAAAACTCCACCAACCTGATCAACATTGACACCATTCCTTGCTGAAGTCTCGTAGAATGGAATCTTCATAGTCTCGGCGAAGTTTCGCCCATCTTCTTCCAGAACCACCCGTCTGGCAGGCTCATCAATCTTGTTCCCGACTAAAAATGGAAAGAATAAAATACTCTCGAAAAAACACTTGCCTAGTATTCGTGGCACATTGCTGCAATTCTTCTCGATCTCATTCAGCCATCGTTTGACATTTATAAAGCTCTCTCCATTAGTTACATCGTACACAACGATAACTCCGTGGGTTCCTCGGTAGTACCTAGAATAATATAAAATCTGAGCTCAGATCTTGAGAATGGGTAGCCTACGTCGACGTGATAGTTCGAAATCTCTCTTGGCCCGCGGTGTCCCAAATCTGGAGCTTCACTTTCTTATCCAGCACAGTTATCGTTCGAATTTTGAAATCCACACCAATTGTTGTGATGTAACTGTCTAAGAATAAAAAAATACAATCAAAACCGATAAAAACTTACTTGAGAAAACATTGTCGGCAAATCGCATCAACAGGCTGGACTTTCCCACACCTGAAAACACATTATTCATCGCAAACAACCCCCGAAAACACCAAGAATAAATTATTTCTTATCAAAAAATAGATGGCAATTGGCCAAAACCGTTCAAAACGAATAAATTATAGAATTCTAGGCAAAACGAAAGTCTTACCACTGTCTCCGATGATCAGCAACTTGAAGAGGAAGTCGTAGTCGCGCGGCGATGCCGAACTTCCGGCTCCGGAGGGGGGAGCCGCGATCATCTAGAGTCTAACTTAATATCGGGCCCGTTTCCAAACCAGCAAAATTATTCCTTTGTGTCGTTTCGGGCCGCTCTCAATGTCCAAATTCTCCCAAACGTGTAAAAACAAGAATCGCATCTCGAATTTTTGATCCCATGGGACAAGTCTGGTCGCAAATCGGTCAAGTCTTACGCTCACCGGGAAAACGCGATTTCAAAGTGAGAAACTGGTAATTTGAGCAAATTACTATTCCAGCGTGTAATTAGCAGTATTAACACCCCTCTATCTTCAATTTCCCAGCACCTTTTACCTTTATTTCATCCAAAAAACACTGATTTTCAACCGTTTTTAAAAAGTTAATACAATTTTATAATAACATTAATAAATACATTTTGCATTCAATGCCAAATAATTATGCAAATAAATAAGGACACTTGAGACTATATAGGATATTATGCGTTGTAAATAGGACAATATTATGCGTAAAAATAACTTAAAATTACATTAAATGCCTAGTACAACATAGTTAGGCGAGTTATAAACCAAAGTGAACGGTTTGAAGCCGTCCATTCCGCTGTTTGACTCGACCAGAGGTAGGAATCGGTCACAATTTGATGGTTTGCCAAGGTCTTCTTTCAAAACCCTATCAAAAATTCCTAAATAAGTGCATTCGGGTCGCTTGTGACCTCTGCAAAGGAAGGGTTCGAAGATAAAGTATTTGATTCCCAGCTTCTTCCAGTTTTTGTGGATCTCATTTGGGTTCTTTCTACCGTAGAATAAATACACTTGGAGAGTTCTTTCGCTAAAATTCGAAAAATTATGAGCAAAATATTAACCCGATGCCTAAAATAATATAAAAATCAAATTTAAAATCCCTACCGCAATCCTGCATCCTCATAATGTGGATGATTAAACACTTTGCGCCCGGTAGAAAGCTCCACATTAGCCATTGTTGGCATTGAGCCAGCGAAAACGTCATCTAAAATAAGGTCAGTAGAGTAATATAAAGTATACTAATAACTAAGTTATAATATAAAACACGCTTACCGGGATGAGTATTCTCTTCAATCCAGTTAAATAAATACTCTTGAGCCTCGTTGCTGTACTCTCCTTTCACACTCAACTGTTTCGCGATATTCTCCTTGCCTTTGTAGGTCATCAGGGCAATTATAAGGACAAAAATGACTGATTTCCATCGAAGTTTAAAGCCGAGAGTAGAGTTGAAGAACTAAAAAGACAAATCAGTGCTAAAAATCACAAACAAACATCAAAATTTTTTTAAAATTTATATTATCCATGATGACCATAGTCAAAATTTCCATAATTTTTTAAAAACTTACATTACTATTAACGAGAATTGATGTGAAAACGCATAATTGAGGTACTGCGAACAATTTTAAACGCATTAGAAGCCACGCCATAAACATAAATAGTACCAGTTGACCAGCATTGAACACAACCTAAAATGAAGATTAAAATAAATTCTTTTTTCATGATTTTAGCCTCTCTGTCATGGCTTTATAGACATATACATAACATTGGTAATAAATTTACTGTTCCAATTCATTATCAAATCTTACATGAGCCTGATCTTGACTGTCCTCTTTCTGCATAATGAGCACATTTTTGAAGACGAAAAGAACAACCAATAAAAGTCCAAGTAGTGCAAGAACTGTCAAGTACGTCTCACTCAGCTCCACAAGAGTCTAAAATGTGAAAAAAAATAATTTCTAAAATACAAAACTCACTTCTAATGGGATGAAATCAAATTCGGCTGCACATGTGTACAACATTGTGTGAAACGTCGCAAAATCCGTGAACTTTGACTTGAGAATATCAAATATATGATCATCATCTTGGATGCCCAAGGATTTCCCAATTGCAAACTTTAGACCACCAGTAAACATCAAGTATAATAAGGTATATACAACTACTCGAGAGATCCCAGAAAGATTGATTTTGGTATCAATCAGAGAGATTAGCTATAAAAATCCATAATCAACAGAAATTTCGCAAATCACTCAAAAAATTTTACGAAAGTCACCAAAAAATTATATTACATTATTGAAAAACTTCAAAAAACTCACTTTAAATGCAATTAATCCCGTGAAAAATAGAGAATTCAAAGTTAATGAGTTGCCAAATAGCAGAATATACGATACAAACAAGGCTAGGATGTAGACATTCCATAATTTCGACACCAATTTTCGGTCAATCAACTTCAAGGAGAAGGTGACAAATAAACACGTAATCTGTGTGAACAAAGCAAATCCGGAGAACTAAAATTCATGATAAATAAATCAAAGGCGATATGACCCACCTGCCAGAACAAGATAAAGTGGAGTGTAGCAAATCCGAAGAGGAATAATCCCAATTTTGCTTCGTTTTTAGATCTAAAGATCCAAATAAAAAGAAAATGCTTCTTACTTTAAGAGAAAGGTGAGTAGCGCCAGCTGAAAGAAGAACACAGGAAATCCAAATGATTCTCGGAGAGGTGGAGTCCATTGTACACGGGTAGCATGACCATGATTGTACATATAAGCCGCCGCGGATATTATCCCTCCCAAAAAGGTGTTACTAAATAAAATTTGATAAAAAGATGTTTCAACCTGCCTTAAAATGGTCCCCAATACAAAAACGGACCCAAGCACTGTCCCAGCTAGGCCAAACACACAGTAGGTGTAGAAAAAATGCAGATTTCCGATCCCTTCGCAGCTGTTTACTGGAGGTAGTTTCCCTCGATTAATTTGATAACAAACTTCATTATTCCATCCAAAAGTCTTCGTGAGTCCTTTGAAAATACGATAAAACCCTCCTAGATAAACTTCTGGATATAAATTGAACCTTTGTAAGGCATTTATTGTATGGCCGGCTTCAATTCTGTCATCATACATTATACTCTTTAGTCCATCCAGAAAACTTGGAGCATTCACAATTCGTTTGTAGTAGGAAAAGTAGAGTCCCTTAAGAACACACTCTTTAAACTTTGAAAAAGACCTGTGTAAAATGAATTCGGGATATCTAAACATTGAACACAAAAAAATTAAATTAACTTACCATCTCCGTCCTATACGACATTTCCCTTTCCAAATCCGATAAATGCGAAAAGAATCGATCATTCTCAAACAAAGTATAAAGGTAAATTGAATGCCCAATTGATATGCCAGCCGCTGAAATAATTTACAGTAATACTTCAGTTGTAAAGACACGATCTCAGAAAAATTTTCTTAAAAACGTACCTAAAACAAATATAAATGTCCAATAAAGTATATTCCAATAATTTACAGGCTCTGTTTCAATCGTTTTCGTCTTCTTTTTCGCCATTATTACTCAAAATCGCGATTCCGAAAATCTCTTTCACCGATATTCGGAAATTGCATTTCGCCAAAATTTTGGTTTTCGCGGCGGGACGCAGCCCAATCAGTGTCGAGCATATGGCGCGAAACGAATAAAAAATGGAGACGGGAGATAGATGGATGGCGAACGGAGAGTCTCCGAGCGAACATAAAAGAGAGCGTATCCACTGAGACATGTCCTCGGACCTTTAAAGACGCATATTGTTGTTGTTTCCCAATCGCCTTGAGTGTTTCAAATTGTCCCCGGAATTGGCCGTAGTGAATCATGCTGAAGCAGCTCTTTGATCCTTGCTTTGCCAACCTCTCGCTGGTCAGGTTGGATGAGAAGAGCAAGAAGGACGCCAAGAATGCTGGCCATGGATCCTTGGTTACCTTCAGTGAAGTTGTTTTCATGAGCAAGTTCATGATGTTCGCATTGGTCAGAGGCTCTGATCCGCAGTCTTTCGACATTCTGGACAAGCTGAAGGCATTTCAGACCAAGAGGAACCTGAGTCATCAACGAAATACGTAAGTTTTGCCATCTTTGACATTACACTTGGTTGTCTTGGTCAAAATTTTGATTTTTGTAGTGATATTCTTTGTAAATCTTTATAAATCTTTTCTTCAGGCCTCAACCAAAGCTCAAGCGGCTTTTCGGCCTAAAAAGCGCAAAGAAAAAGAACAATGGCGAGTTCTATGACCTCTCGACAGTTATATTGGACATGGACTTTCATTCCAACGACTACGATGCTAATTCAGTGATCAGCGAAATAGATGGAAATGCGATTTTTTGTTTCGCTCCGACAATGTCGTATATTCAAAAGGTATAGTAATTTTATTCATGTTTTATCTTCTTTTAGGGTCGATTGTTAAGGTCGCTGAAAGCCTCAACAGCTCCATCGTTGATCTTGGTAGATGGTTCGACGCTATCAGTGCTCTCAGTTCATTGCAAGGAGATGCTTCTGGAGAAAAATGACGTTGAAAACTTTCCTTGGTAAGGGGTTATAACAATTTTAGGTAGCATTGATACCTAAAATTATGTTTTATATGAATTTTATTGAAATTTGAGCTTGCGTGTTTGAAATTTTTATATTTTTAGGCACGATGCTTCTCCATCATCTCTACTTTCTGGAAATTTTATCAGGATCAAGAAAAATTCCAGTGGAGATCGTGAAGTTTCAGTTGTAAACGGCTTGAAGAAAGGTGTAAAAGCCCTTTATTTTGGTGCTAAGTGGGTATGTTTTTCTTTATTATTGTTGATTTGGTCTTTAGTGTCCTCCATGTCGAGCTTTGACGAATCAGTTGATCGATGTCTACGGGAAAATCAAAGAGAAAACCTCAAATTTTGAGATTGTCTTCTGCTCCTTTGATAGGACGAAGGAATCTTTCGAAGAATACCTGTCCGAAATGCCGTGGGTTGGATTTCCATTTGACTCAGAGGTCACGAACAATGTGAGACACGCATTTGACGTTCAAGGTGAGTAATAATTTTATTTTTTCGGAATTTAGGACCTGTTATATTATCCATGACATATCTGATGTAAAAATTGTCAGAAAAATTCAAATTTTTTTGGGTGTTGAACTTAAAACTGAAAGATTATGCTTTTTAGGTATTCCCACAGTCGTTATTCTCGATGAAGACAACAATATTATCACCAAACACGGCAAAAATATCCTCCTTTCCGACCCGAAATGCCTCGAATTCCCATGGAAGCACAAAGATCTGTACGAACTCAATGAATTTACTGTCCAAAGGATAACTGACCTCCCCACATTGATTATGTTTACAGGTAAGACGGACATTATTTTGATTTGGCAATCACATTTTTCAATTTTTAGAAGGTACCCCGGATGACTCAATTTTCGCTAAAGAAGTACTCAAAACATGCGCAGATATATTGTATAGCCAACTAAAGACGTCCATATCGGCAGAAAGCAACTTATCAAACCTAGAATCTTCGCCATCGATATCAAATTCGTTTTCGGAGACCAGGTGGGTCTAGTGTAATGTAAAAGTTTATTTTTGTAGTTCAATCACGTCTGAAATGCCTGTGCCATCGTATGCAGATCTTATTCAGGTCATGTACACTGGTGAGCATCCAATCTGTGACTTTGTAAGCGATTTTTTTGATGTTTTTATATTGTAGTAGGTCATTTTGGATTAAAATTTTTTGTGATTTTCAAGTCAGGAATGCTGTAAATTTTGTGATTTTCAAGTCTATTTTTTCATAAACTAGCATTTCAGATATTGGAAAGCCTTGGATTAGGCCAAATGGAGCTACCACTACTAGTAATTTGCGACACTTTGACTGGATTTATGGCGATCTGCGATAAACCTGACATCAGCGATACAACTGCCGTTGAATTTGTGAACGAATATCGATCAGGGAAGGCCCGAGTCCTCCCACTTCCCAAGGCCGGCCCTGGGGTTCGAAATGTCGCTGGAATTCCCCTACTCCAGCCAGAAAATGCATAATTAATATCAAAATTTGGGTTTTAATTAAGAATTTTTTCATTTTGTTGTCAAAAAAGTTTGTTTTCTCTCTGTATCCGCCATATTTATGCTAATTGTTCAGATTGTTATCAAGTTTTCTTCCTATAGAGTACAATAGCCGGTCAAATAAAGCCCTGATTTTTGTTGGTTTAGACGATTTTTTGATGGCGGAATATTTTGTTAATGTAGCCCCGATTTTTTTGTTGATCCAACCCCCTGCCGATGCCGCTCAACGCGCGCTAAATCGAAAACGACAGCCGGATTAGAGTCGGGAAACGGGGGGTTTGATCCATTGTTCGCCGCCCGTATGAGGTGTATTTTCTGGCGGTGATAAAACTGATAGATCATGATAAAGTCGAAGAGTTTCTCGTGCAGCCTTTTTTGAAACTAAAAGGGGGTGAAAAACGCGATGACAGATGTTGAAACGTGATTTTAAGGAGATGTCGGAGGGTTTTTTTAGAGATTTTTTTTGATCTTGTTGGACTTTGTATATGTATTAATATATATATATGTAATGTACTTGATGACATGGTAAAATACGTATTAGGTTGGATAAAAAGTTCTTGAAATTTTTGACGTCGTTGCCTCTATAATTAAGAGTACTCGAATCAAATAAAATGATGATTTTAGGAAAAAAATTTCAAAAACTTTTTAGCCGACAGAGTACTTAAAAGTTGAGTCAAAAACACAACATAGTGTCTGCTCTACCGACTTATTAAATAAAAATTTAAAAAATTGCTCTTTGTACATGATGACTTATTAGACTACGTTTTACCTCTTGATGCCTTTTAAATTTCATGTGCATTATTTTCTGGACTTGCCATGTCAAAAAACGGAAAAAATGTCAAAGTTTTTACTAAGTTTCGACCTAAAAATCGGTTATTTCTACATAGCTTTTATTCTGTCATGTGGCTGAAAAAATTATTCTAATTGTAAATTTGTGGCAAGTTTCATCAAAATCTGAACGTCGGAAGTGATTTTTTTATTGTAAAATTTGCCCTTACAATTTTTAACTCTCAAATTGAAGAGAAGAAAAATTTTACGAGTTATGTTATTGACAACAAGAATATTACTTTTCAATCGCACTTTTGCTTCCTTCATTTACAATTTATTCCATTGAATTTGAGGATTTTGAATTTTTGTCATCATCATGTGACGATCCTAAAAATTCTAATCCCAGAAACCTCAAGGCCTCCTCGTAATCGCTCTGACACCATTGAAGGTCACAGGAGAGCCTCAACTAAAGATTTTTCAAACTTTTTTTTGTAAGGTCGTTCATTCAAATACCCTTTTTTTAGACGTGAGGTCAAAATTTATTTGCGAGAAATTTTCGAAAAATGTTTCGAACGCGGTTCGAAACCGCTTAAAGAAAAGAATTTGAAGTTGCCTCGAGGTTTAAGCGGGTTATTTCGAGTTTGGCTTGTTCATAGTGGGAGATCGGTGTTGTAAAATTTGCAAGGCTATAAATAGAATTTTTCTTGTAGAGGTATTTGCATACCTTTTGGCTTGAACTTTGCAAATATATATGTAATGATTAGGCCGTATATCAAGTGTAAAAACTTTTATTGAACTTGCGATTTGCACGGGTATTCATGGGTCAAGTGCTCGTATTGTCAGTACGACGCTTAGAATTTCAATAAAACATGGAGTAAATTTAAGCTCGTTTTTTCACAATAGAAGCTTTGCGCAAGAAGCCATTTTATCGGCCAAAATTTGCCGAAGATTCGATTCCTTCTTGGCCGATGTTTGGTATGAGAAATTCACAGCCATATTTTCAACGAATGATGCAACATCTCCACAAAAAATATTTCTTTCCGTGCAAAAATTGCAAAGTTATGGGCAAAAAATTTCTTTCTCATTGACCACTCAACTCATTTTGCATACTATCTCGGGAGCAAAGATTGTTGAATATCTCAGCTCTTACCGAAAATCTGGAGTTAAAATTTTTAGGAATTTCAGTCTAGTCCATGAACATTACTTGTGTAAAATTAAAAGAAAATCTCACCGCCGCGGTTGGAGCACTATCTTTGCCAATTTTTCGTCAACTTTTGGCTCAAAAATCTCCGTTCTTGCCGTAGAGCGTGAGCCAAGAATCTCATTCATGTTTTAGATAAATTTACTCAAAATTTGACCCTAGAACCGACCTTTTTACCGCATATCTTTCGATAAAATCCCACCTTCCCTCGTGTTGGTTTGTATTTACTTTTTTCCCACATACAGACAGGATTTCACCCGCAGAGAAGGCGAAATCCGGAAATTCAGAGGGTAATTACAAGGGCGTTTATTTGTGGATTTTCGTCGACAAATAGACATTTAAACCTGGCTTTTGTATGTTCCAACCAGAAGGCGGCGGTAGACTCGTTGAAAGATCAAAAAGTGATGGGTAAAAATTTGGATGAGTTCCATGATGGTTTGAAGTAAAATTTGGTCTTTCAAGGGGGTGCTCCAAATGCCACGGCAGAGTGCATGCTGTAAAAATTGCGCAGAACTGGCTTTTGTGGGTATTGTGTAAGAGTGGATCTCTTTTTCCCAATTTTGTGCCTTGGACCTATTTTACGGTCTCGTCGGGAGCTGGGCGCTGACATATTGTTAGATCTAGACTTAGTCTCTAGCTTGCATGGGACTAGGCTCAGCCTTGCTTCTGCTTTTAGGCTCACATTCGATCACATTGAAGTGCGACACATAGATTTTACTTTTTTACACTCACCGGGGTTAGGCTACATATCTTTCCTGAAGAATTTAGCACTTGCGCTTTGCAGAAGAGATACTTGACTTAGCGCCGAGAGAGTTCGGAAAATACGCAGATCGAGCAAATAGAAAAATTCTTATTTGCCATACCTATGCCAGGTTGCGCAGATAAAAAAAAATTTTTAGAAACGTTCACTTCTGCAGTAGAAGTACCGCTGATATTTTCGATGCATTCACTTGCAGAAAAGCGTCAAAATTTGGCCATGTTCGGACTAAAAATGTGGGTTGCAAAGCGCCTACTGGAATTATGGCTTATAGTTAGGAAAAATTATATATTATAAATTTATGTCATCCTCTGATCCTCGCAATAAATAAAATTTTTAGCGTATTTATTAATGAAAAACAAAATCTACAAACACTTCTCAGACTATACCTAAAATTTTGTCATAACTCATCCAGAATTGCTCAACTTTCCCTTTCTCCCACCCTCAACTTTTCCGCTACTTGATGACAATGAACGGGTTGCGCGAGAAAATAAAAAAATAATCGGGAACTTCGAATTTCGACGGACTTTCGCTTTTCGCGCGCGCCGTTTTCAGCCGCTTTTGACCCCGATTTGGGTAAATTATGAAACACGGAGAGGGGTGAGGGGAGGCCCGTCACACTCGTAATTGCAGAGGTAAAATAAAAAAAAGTCTTTTACTTTCTTCCTGGGTAATAATAAGGGAAAGTAAGCTTTGGGCAAGGGGGAATTGTATAAGTAAAAAATACAATGATGATTGATGGTCAGTAAATTATGGTATGTATAAGAAGTTGACGAAACTTTGCAAAAATTTAGAATATTTTTTTTAAAATACGTAAGAAACTATCGTACATTACAAAAATTGCCAAAATTTTTAGGTCTAAAGTTGGCAAAAATATAACTTTTTTCGCGAATTTGAGCATGAAAAGTTTCATGCCCGTCTGTATTTTTCCCCAAAAAATAATTTTTTTTTCGCTCAACACTGGCAGAGGAAGGTCCAAAGAGTGCTTTTTGTGACCGCTCTCTGCGTTTCGCTTTGTCTCTCGGCCTCAAGGATGCGCCGAATCTTGAGCAATTTTTGAATGATTTTTCTTTTATCAACAAATTTTTTTATTCAATTTTTGGTTGTTTTACACAAGATTTTTACATTCTTAATTTATCGTATTTTGCAAAAACTTATAAAACCGGCCCTAATCCTTTCAAATAACGTTTCCAAAATCATGTGCTCTATTATTTCCATGAAATTTCTACACTTGTTTCATCTCTTCCCATTCTCAATTTTTTCATTTTTCCAATTTTGCATCGTCTGTAAATCAAGTATCCTCTTGATTACCCCACCAGCGTCGCTTTTCGTCTACAGTCCCCTCACAACCTCCCTCTTCAATAATTTCAAACTCGTCCCCTCTCCAATAATAAGTAGTGACTTAACTCGCCTCCAAAAGTCAAAGAGAGGGCGTGATCGATCAGACGGAATTTGTTGTCTTTTCGCTTTCAGGCTCGTTTCCATCGCCTTCAGATTCCTCGATGATCCCGTCGAGAGTTTGGGCCGGGCTTTTCTGGGTTCTGGCCGCTGTTTCGGCCGACCATTTCTTGCGGGATCCCGCCTTTTTGGACGATGAAGTTCATGGAGAACGAGTGAAGAGAGCGTTGCCAGAATGGCAGAGCAAGTTGAGAGAGAAGGCCGAGAATTTCGGGCAAAGTGAGAAGGAGTTGGAGACGGTGCAAATGTACTTGGCGAAACTGAATGACATAGCGGAGGATAGGCATCAAACCAAAGAGTCGGTAGGTGATAAATCTTTGATTATAATACAGGTATTTTGTGGTTGTTTTTTTTTGAGCCTTCCTGTGGGCTAGATTCTGAGCAATATCGCATACAATGTACTCTTTACATACCGGAAATTTTTTGGAAAATTTTGGATGTTTATTATGAAAAATTTGAGTTCGCCTAAATCATCAATCATTGATGTCCATTGCCCCGAATTCTATTCTCTTTTCCTTCCAGAACCAAGTCCGTAGCCAGCTGGACGCCTGGAATCGGGATCGCCAACATGATGACATCTCCAAACACACCAAGCCCGAGGAAAGTCGGCGACACTTCCAAGGTAAAGGAATGGGCGAACCTGTTCTTCTTTATTGACTCATAACTTTTAAGTTGAGGTCTCTAAGTCGACGACTATATTACTTTGTAAATCTATAGTGTCAGAACATTTTTATTTGATTTTTTCTGGCTTTTAAAATGAAAGATAAACATATTTTAGGTGACATTGTCCTTACGGCTGATCAAGCCGAAGAATTTTATGAAAGAGTGGCCGGACAAGGGAAACGAAGGGTCAAAAGGAAGTTTATTGGCAGCAAAGTGAGAAGATGGGACCCAACAAAGCCCATTATCTACAGTTTTGATGGATCGCACAGTAAGCAAAATTTATTTGAATTTTTTAAAAATTTATAAAAAAACAAGCATTTTGCTTTTTAATAATAGAAATTCAACTAATTTAGTGAACAATTTGATTAAAACAACGTATTTTACTCTAACCGGTACTGAATTTTCGCTTTTTTTAAACTTTTCTCAGCACAGTGCATGAACAAAAAAATTTTTTGATTGCATAGCACAGCCAAGTTTATTTTTTTTTGCCCATATATTTTTCATGGCATACTAAGCCCATGGGTAACAATTACAAAAGCGAAAGCGGAAAGTATCGGATACTTTTTACGTCGTAAATCCATAAAACCTAATTCTCAGCCGGCTATTTTCGGTTACGCATTGCTTTTTACGGTTTTCCGGTTACAGTTGGGGGAAAGTAAGGGAAGTAACTGTAAATTATGATTTTTTTATAACCTACTCTCTAATTAATCGTAATATAGCAAAATATCGGTGCTGAAATCATATTTTCAGCTAAAAAATAAACAAAATTTTCAATATTTTCCATATAAAAATACTGTTTTTTTTTGATCTCAAAATTATTCTCAATTTAATTCCCAGCTTATAGCCAAGAAAGAGCAGAAAGTCATTGAGTTGGCCCTGGAGCATTGGCATAACATTACGTGTTTGAATTTCGAGCGACGAGAAGGAGAGCCCAAGGGGAATCAGCTGGTCTTTACGGACGTTGATGGCTGCGCTTCCAATGTGGGAAAACATCCATTGGGAGAGCCGCAATTTGTCTCACTGGGACCGGAATGCATCCGGGTAGGTTGGTGGTAAAATACGGACTGCAGTAGGATCCAGACCAGCACCTTGACAAGCAATCCAAATGTGTTTGAACTCGTGGTTGCTTGTCAAGGTGCTGGTCTGGGTCCTACTCTGCATTCTTTGTGTTAATATTCAAGGAAATCTAGCGAAGAAAGCAAATCGCTTAACGAAGAGCCCTTATCTTTTCTGTAAATTTCTTTGGCAATTTTTACGAGGTATCGCTTAGATTTTTGAAAATGGACCTAAAAAATAAACACTACGACTTCAATTTTTTTTACCTTTGCGTTTTGCTGCCGCAGCCTAATTATTCAACAATTTTTTATACACAAGAGTACTAGTCGCGCCATAAAGTCCGTAGAATTTTTTTCGCCGACGTCGCGGGTGCAATCGCCGAAAAGTGCATGTCGCTAGTGCAAAAACGGGGAATCGCCGCGGTGCGTGCGAAAAAAAGGGTTGAATGCACTGTGCAAATTCTACGGACTTTATGTCGCGACTAGTACATAAAACAATGACAGACGGGCTACTTGCCCTTCCGGAAAGTCGGCGGACTGATTTTTGGCGTGTGCACTGTGCGAAAAACGTCTGGGTGCGAGCGATAACCGAAAAAAGTCGATTGCACGGTGCAAAAAGCAAAAAATTGCACAGTGCAAAGAAAAGTTTTGTTTTTGCACAGTGCGTGTCGCCGATTTCAATTCGGCGACATTCTGGAAAGGTTTGTAAAAATGTTTTCTTTGCGAATTTTGAGCAGAAAAATAAGGTGCATTTCAGAAGTTTGGGGCTCATTTCTTTTTTTTTCTATCGACTGGTTAGGTCCGAAACATTTGTTTCTTTAGCCGAGTCTTGTCATTACCGATAATTTCTGGTCTACGAAGACAGGTGGATTGATATGTGGCCTTAGTAAACCCTAAAAAATGTTACAAAAATTATGCAAGCATTTTGTAACATCCTCTTTTTTCAATAGCAACAAGTCTTTTAATGACGACGATTGAACATCCGACGCCATAACGAAAAATATATTTAAAAATCGGGCAAAAATAAACTTTTTGAACCCCCAAAACATTCTATGACCATTACTCAGGAAGAATAAATAAGCTATATCTTTCTCAGCTAGGAGTCATCGCCCATGAAGTCGCCCACGCCCTCGGATTTTGGCACGAACAGTCGCGGCCAGACCGCGACTTCTTCGTCAACGTTCGTTGGGACAACATTGACAAAGACAGTAAGGGCCAATTTCTGAAGGAACAGCCGGTTGATGTGGACAATGGAGGGGTACCCTACGACTATGGGAGTATTATGCATTACCGATCCAAGGCGTTCGCCCGTTTCGATGATTTGTACACGTTAAGCACGTTTGTGAATGATTATCAACGAACAATTGGGCAGAGAGATCAGCTTTCTTTTAATGACATTCGATTGATGAACACGATTTATTGCAAAAATACATGTCCGAAGAAGTTGAATTGCCAAAGAGGAGGGTATACGGATCCAAGACATTGCGATAAATGCAGGTGTCCCGATGGATTTACGGGAACGGTAAGTCGTTTGATATAAAAATTAAAGTGAAAATGACCAGAAAGGAGTATGATGAGGATGCTAAATTTCTCTCAAGACATGAAGTTTTATCATTTTTGGGCCTTTCACATCTCCAGGAAGTATAATATATACTATATGTATTTTTTGTTAAAAAATTTCAAAAATTAACTCAGTACTTACACCAGGCCAAAAATGTTATTCTTGACGCCTCAAAAAAATCACTAACTAAATTTTTTAGTTATGTGACGAAGTGATGACCGGCTATGGCGCTGAGTGCGGAGGAAAAGTCCGAGTCACCGAAAACTGGCTTCAATTCGGTTCGCCGGGATACCCCAAAGAATTCAAGGAGGGACAAGAGTGCTCTTGGCTGTTCACAGCGCCCAAGGGACAACACGTTTTGATGCAATATGTCGATGAATTTGAAATGTATTGCAAGATACGACATTCTCTTTGCATGGACTATGTGGAGGTCAAGAATACCACCGATTTTGCAAATACTGGAATGAGGTGAGGCTGAAGGGGATCTCAAGGAAAAAATCGGTGGATTTAAGGTTCTAAATTTGCCTTGAAGGCTTTAAACCTCAAAAAATTTCAAAGAAACCTTGAAAAAATAATTTTGTTCACCTTATTTTAGATACTGTTGCAATGGCACTCCAAAATCGTCAATAATCTCAGCGACTGAAGACATGGTGGTCCTCTTCCGTTCATTCTATCGAAGTGGAAAGGGATTCCAAGCCCGAGTCAAGGCCGTTCCGCACACTGGTTCGTGGAGTTCATGGTCGTCCTGGTCCGAATGCACCGCTTCTTGTGGCGCCTGTGGCAATCGTCGGCGCTCACGACAATGCACACCCGCCAACGCTTTTTGTTTGTCAGTGTTTTTGATTTGGAAATGGGGATCTTTTTTCTCGTCTACTCAAGTTATTTTATCAGAACATACCAAACTTGCAACCGGCTTTGCCCACGAGAAAATGAATGAGGGAGAGCGGTCAGAAAGAAGCGCTTTTTGACCATATTTTTTACAATTTCGCGCAAATTTTTTTTAGTCAAAAGGTTGCTTACAGTAGAAATATTGTTGCAGCTTTTCAAACTATGCCAGATCAAAGGCCCTAAGGCTCCAATTTTTATAAGATTTTTGCCCAATTTTAAAAATTAAATTTTTCAAAATTCCTGTAGGTCCCTCAACTTTCTATTTATCATCATTTTACCCTCACACTAGGGTGTTCAAACCTCATAACCCCCTAAAAATCTAAAAAATTCTTTTGTTGATTTATTTTGTTTTCGCTTTCCTCACAGTCCCGTCTACAACAGCACTCAATTACTTATTTATTTTTTCACTACAATGCCAATTGTTTTGTCGCCTATAGTTCACTAATTGATCATTTACAGAGGTGAGGATATCGAGACGGAGGTTTGCAACACAGCGCCTTGTAAGGGACTCTGCAGCCGGAAACGTGTCGAAGAGGCGCCCTGCACCGGCTTCCTCTCTCTTCTCAAGGGAGTGAAGTGCAAAACGTAAGTTTAGAGAGACTAGTTTTTCTATGATTGACAATGGACGTAAATTTGGCAAAAAAAAATCAGCATTTTTTGAATTTTTGAAATTAAAAAAATTTTTCAAAAACACAAAATGAAAAAAAAGTAAAAACTTTTTGTTAAAGTCTCATTTTTGCAGACAAAAAATAACTTTTTACACATAATTTGAGTGGAACAGTGATTACTCAACAATTTATAATCTTTTTAGACATCTTATTGTTAACGTATCACTATACTTTTTCAGCGAGAAAACGCGAATGGAAGAGTGTGACGAGATCTGTTGTTCCGGCTTTCAATTGATGGACGGGGAGTGCAAACGTTGAAGTGAAATCTTTCAAATCAAACAAAACACTTTATTGAAACGGGTACGAACTAATAAACTTGTAAAATTGTGAAGACCTAGATCACAGTACCGTATTTTAAAACTTGGAAAATGAAACACATGCATTGGAAATCTTTCTGCAACAAAACCCAATACAACAAAACTTCTACGCGCTTTGCATAAACCATCCTTGTTTTATATCAAGCGTTGCTAAAAATTTGGCCTATTTATTCGAGTTTCATGATACGAATTGCAAAGATATAAAGGTGGTCATATAAGATCTCGGAATTTTTTTTCCCAAATCGCGATTTTCGGTGCACAAAAAAGTCGACGCCCAAATCGAAAAATTGGTGTCGACTTATTTTTCTCTAGGCACCGGATTCTGAAATTCGGCAAAATTTTCTAAGTTTTTCGAAATCAGTGCACAAAGTCTTAAGTCTGCACCGAAGACTTAAGTGCTTAAGTCAGCACCGCATTTCGGAATTCGGTGCTGAAAAAATTGAGTTGACGCCAATTTTTCGATTTGGGCGTCGACTTTTTTGTGCACCGAAAATCGCGATATGGAAAAAAAAATTCCGAGATCTTATATGACCACCTTTATATCGCCAAAAACAGATTTTCGCGAACCGCATGTTAACCTCATTTTTCATACTTTTTTCGTCTGCGAAGATCGTTGAATTTCTCGGCTGTTTTCGAAAAGCTAAAACTTACATTTTCAGAAACTTGAACATTGTATAGAAAGAAAAACTTTTAAGCAAATTTAGTGGCCAATGTTTGAACGCTTACTTTGTGAGGAGAAGTCTCAATTGTTTTCCAAAAAAATGCAAAAATTTGCAAAAGAAGCGATCATTTTTTGGATTTGTCATGTTCTTGATAGCGAATCAGAAGTCACCTTGTTATCCCTTTCAAAATTTCTGTATGCTAAAACACCCTCAAAACTAAGCCTTGATTTTATTTTAGTCACCATAATTTCTTTCCTCCTTCTTCCCAAATTTCGCAACTTTATTTCCTCGGAATTCGGGAGTGCAAATAACAAATTACTATAGTGTAGATCAGAAAACGTCTTTTTTGAGTCATGGGTACTCGAATTACTCAAGCACGAAAAGTTGGGTGGGGTTTTTTTGTTTCGGCAAATCTTTTTCTCTTCTGGATCTCGTTGCTGTTTTGCATAGGAAATGATGTAACCCTGGCCTTCTTTTCGCTCTTCGCCTTCAACTTGTGTTGTTATATGGCGCTGCACTTCTCAGATCCGCGCCTTTTTTGTCTTTGTTTCCAATTTGGCCAATTTACCCGGCCCGCTTTTGTCTGCGGGGCGTAAATTCGGCGATGGTTGCTGGGCGATTGAGATTTTGAGATGTCGGGATCAAAAGACAGAGATTGTAATGGGGAGTGGTTTTTGATAAATTGACGATTTCTTGTGGCTTTTTTCTTGTCTGAATACAGTAGGAAACCCTTGAAACTCTTGACTACCTCACTATTAGCCCTAGATATCGAAACATCCCATATTTACACGAGATGTTTAAATGGCTAAAACCTAAATTTAACAAGTGCTAGTTTCAAATTTATCGCTTTTTACTTCTCCAGCCTTCTCAACTCTTCTCGTCCTTTCCAATTCCACCTACCCCGGGAAGACAGGATCGCCTGTCTCTCAACCTTTGTCCCAAATTCGTCCAGTCCAGCGGAGACGGGCCCAAAATTCGTCGAGCAGGCGTTAATTGGTTGACGCCTCGGCTCCAGGCGTTTTTTAATGAAACGGGGATCGCGGCCCGGCCCCGTCCCCACTTCTACCCTCTCTTTACTTCGGAGTTTTGAGTGCCTGCGGGGATGAGCCAAAAGTAGCGAGCATCAATGTCCGTATTTTCGTCGGGTTCTAGGCCGTAAATTTAAATTCCATGGGTTGGAAATGGGGGGCCCCCGACGGCATGATGGGTTGGATGGGCCGCGCGGAGTTGTTGCGAACGATGTGCGGTTTCCAAATAAAGCCCGTTTTGCAATGAATGTTGATGGGGCAGTGATGTTGTCAGCGGTGTCGGCATTAGAAATGCGACAGGTTTATCCCGTATAAGAGTGATTTGAAAAAGGGCAGATGTTGTCGGATTTTTTCTTCTATTCTTACAAGAGCTTCTAAATATTATAATAGATTTTTATGAGGTATTATAGAAAAAATCTATGCGACACTTCAATTTTTATCAAGCCATGCAGTGATAGTCTGTCCAGACGACGTATCTATTACGGAAAATTTTAGCTCTGACTTTTTAGGGCCACTGCAGACACTCATCGGCCTCTGCAGGTCAGAGATTAGAGAGAATGTGGAATGTCGGTCGGAGAAACAATTTTTTAGGAGTATCGGTAACGCCGTATTGAAAAATCGAATTATTTTGCCAAATAATCTCTGATCTCGGCCAAATCTGAGCGTCCATTTTAGCAATACATGCCAACTTTTGCTCATCCAAGATTCCTTATTGTTAGGCTCCTTTCGAGCTTCATTTTTTGCTCTACAAACAAATAAATCCCCTTTTATTAATATTTAACATTTATCCTCAAAATGTCATAGAACTCATGTTTTGAAACTTCCTCAACCTTGAGGGCCTTAAAAATGTTCTCTTCAAAAAATTCCAAGATTTTTGATATGCTGCTCTTCTTTTGTTGACATCATTTCAGCCCTTGATGACATATTCATTTTTTCTGTTTGAACTGAACTCTCTGCAAATTTATTTTTTCTGACATCTTTTGCATTTTTTTTACATTTTCAGCAACTTTTTAATTAAAATATTCAAAGACGTTTTTTTACTCAAAAAAGTTCTTTTTCCGTAAAAGTCTAAAAATTAAAGAGTACGTAAAGAGTGTGCTCTGATAAGGCGAGTAATTTAGTCCACATTATTTCTCATTTCTCTACTACAAACTCTTAAGGCCATCTTATTCAGAATGTTCAGAAGATGTACGTTGAAGTGGCCACTTGTCCACATCTTGGGCCGTTTATTTCCAAATTAATTGAATGAAAATTGTATTAACAGCCATAATTTGTAGGGAAATGAAACTGTAATTGGGAATTGGAGAGAGGGAAGACGTCAGTTTATTAAGTTATTCAATTAAAGTTTGACATTTTCTGGGAAGAGGTGGAGTTTTTAGATGTTTATGGGGAAGTTGTTGCGTTTATGTTTAGGAAATAAAATTTTAAATAAGATAGACTGCCAAATAGGATGGAGCCTCCGTGCCACGGACCCCCGCACAACAAAACCGGTCTATAGCGAACAATTTTAGAGGTCTCCAAAGTTAATTTTTTATCTCAGCGGCTCGATGAAACCACTCAGACATACTTATCGAGTTGATGAAAATACTTAGAAAATCAAAGTTTTCGTATCAAGTATAGGCCAAAATGGACCTCTGTACAATGAAGCTCATCTATAGCAAAAAACGTTGGTCCCTTGAAATTCGTTGTATAGCGGCTTATTTGTATCTTGTAATTTAGAATTTGTATCTAGCTTTAAGCTAAAGCTAATGACTTCTATTTCCCTGTGGCATCAAACCAGATTTTATTACTAGAGTTCCGCAAAATTTACAACCATTTTGTACATATAATGTTACACTTGAGCCACATGTATATCCCCACTCCACATGCCCTTCGCCGAACCTTCTGAAACCCCGGAGCTCGTCATGGCCATAAAAATACATTTGGTAGTAGTTTCGCCGCATTTTTATACACCAAATTAGCCGCATATGCATCCATAACTGCCCGAGGGCGCTTCCGGGCCCTGGGGACATTTGGCCGCAATCAGGCGCTTGGCCGGCGGACAAATGCTTATTACAAGTCTAATTACAAGCGGCTTGACAGCTTTGTGTGTGTGTTTTTTTTTCGCCCCGACGGGATCAATGTCAGCTTTTTTCGAAAAAAAAAATTTTGGAAAAAAATTCAAAAATTTTCTAAATTCGAAACGACTGCAAAATAAAAAAAAGTAATCAAAAGTCCGCCATTGTCGATGATCACGGAAATTAAACCGGTTGCGGTGTAAATTTCCGTTTGGGCCGAACTCTTTCGGCCGAGGGGCGGGGTCTGGCGGCCAGATGCGGTTTGGCCAAAAGACGGCCTGTTTTGTCGTGTCTTTGGTTTATAAGTGTTGTTGGCTGAAATTGAAAACTTTTTTCAGATGCCCTGCGGATCTCTGGACTAGAATTTATTTGATTGGCCAACGTATTTTGGCAATTTTTAGCCGAAATTTTCAAAAAAAACTGAATTTTTGGTGATTTTCACTAAAAAAGCTTTTTAATAAGCCTAAAAAGCTTTGCTATCGTGTCAAGATCAGGCCAGAGCGACAATAAAGAAGCTGGCAAAGTTCAGCGGACTGGCCCAGCTTCTGAACCACCCGTAAGAACCGCGGCATGCGGCCGGCCCAAGCGATTCTGGGCCGAGTTGCAACAAATGAATGAATGCTCTTACTCAACCTACTTGTATTTATTTGTTCTGTTGGTCCACCGGTTTTCGGATATACCTCAGCGGCGGGCTCACACTACGTCCGCGAGCATACGTGAGTTGATTGAATTTTTATGGAATTTTTTGCCAATTTTGGGATTGGAAAAAAATTTTTTTTTATTTTTTTGTTTTAAATCGAATTGGGTAAAATACGCCTTGCAATGCGAACTTTTTTACAGCAAATTTTTTTCCAAAACTCGATTTTTTGAAAACAAAATTTTTTGGGGTTTTCAAAATTTTGATCAGAAAAAAATTTTTTTGTTTTTTGCAAAAATTACATTGTAAAATACGTCCAAAAAATCGTCGGACCGTTTCTCAAAAAATTTTTACTTTGACCTTCCCGTATCCGACCTTTGCCTTTACCCTATTTTCGAAAACACGTCCTCCCACTGGTTAATGAATGCCCAATTAGGGAAAATACAATTCTAAATTTTTAAACATGTTATTCTCGGAGCAAACCCCACAATTTTAACGAAAAATTTTTTTAGGTTCAAGACAAGATATTGCTACAGCTGCATGTCACGGGACTTTGAAAAACATTGGTCGTACTTGGATCAGGTAGGATTTTTTTTGATTTTATTGACTTTACTGTGCTCTAGGGAATTGGGAAAAATTAATTTTTCAAATTTTGTGAATTTTTCAAAAAAAATTACGTGCACAGTGCAGACAAAAAAATATTTTTTCGCACAGTGCGGCGAAAAAATGGATTTGACTGCACTGTGCGGGAACTTTTTTATATGCCGTTTATGGTCAGAGAGGGGTTATTTATAACGTATTTAGAGAATGAAAGCCTTTTTTCGCTGTGCGATAAACAACAGAAGCAGAAATTTGAAATTTTTTTTGTTGCACTGTGCATTAAAAAAGATTTGTTTGTAATAGAGAAAGTTCGTTATATAGAGGGTTCCTATTGTATAATATGCCCTTAGGCAATCTAGGAGATAGCGTTGGACATATTTTTATATTCGTCAAATTTGCTATGCAGCAGTTATATCTCATCTTTCCCGATTGCACCGTGCAGTCTCCAATTTTTTCTGCCCAATGCGAAATCCTTATTATTTCCTATTCCAAAAGTTGCACTTTTTCGCCAAAATTGTTGTCAATGTCATTGCCAACTCCTCTTTGCATTCATCAAACCCTGCGGCGATGAATATCCCGGCTGCGGATTAAATTCTCTCGCTTCGCCAAACTTTTTGGGCATTGTGTTACTTTTATTTTATTTTTATGATGGCCGGTCGGTTCGTTACATCCGGCCCCCCGAATTTTAATGTCGCCCGGAGGGGCCGAATTTCGAAAATAATATATCCAAAAATCCTTTGAGCAAAAAATTGCAATTGGCCCATGCGAAGACGCGGAGGGAAGAGAAAGGAGGGGGATTTTTAAAGTCGGTTTCGGATTACATTAGAACGCGATTCTGTGTCGGGCCCAACTTTTGGAGGGGGAGGCCTAATGGCTGAGGAAGCACTCTATAGACGGAAAACAAGGTACATGAGGGAGGGACAGGTAAGAAATGGATAACAAGGCGAAAAAACAAGATTAATGAGGAGCACAATAAACAAGGAATACAAGATAATGCAAATGATTGCAAAAATGAATCAGCAGGTATGGGCTAATGTGACCAGAAATGTGTTTTTTACTAGTCGGTCCGGAAAGTTACTGGACTGAAATCGGCGACACGCACTGTGCGAAAACCAAAGTTCACTTTGCACTGTGCAATTTTTTTCTTTTTGCGCCATGCAGCGCCAAAAATCAGTCCGGCGACTTTCCGGAAGGACTAGTATTCAATGTCGTCATTTTTTACGTTCTATCGCCTGCAAAATCTCGCCTTGTCTCTGCCACTCCAACAAGCTGTATGCTAAATTTCTGGACATTGATTTATGAGGTACTAACATAAGATCATGCCAGCAAAAAATAGAGAAAATAAAAAGAATCATCCTTTATTGACCTTCAAAATATCAAAAAAATATGTAAATATATTCTATGCAGTAAAGCAGGAGCTAAATTATGAATACTTTCAGATCTACTACCGACCCATCAATTTCACCGATGAATGCCATTCGATGACGCCGGAGAAATTCATCGGGCGAACTCCGTGCGGTCACTCGTTGTGTGTGACTGTAGTCGAACCAAGGGTGCTAGCGGGTAAGTATAAAATACGTCGCTATTTGAAGTAGTTCTTACTTTCCAATAGGATTCAAAATGTTTTTTAGTCATCTTTTTTTGGGGGTTTTGTGATTTTAGTCATCATTTTTACGTTATTCCAAAGAAATGTAAATTTCACGCACTTATTAAAGACGTATTTTACAATAATTTCGTACAGCCAATGGTCCTTACCAGACATTACTTTTCTTTCTATAAGCTCTATGACCAATTTTCCCAATAAAATTCTCCTCTGTCCCTTCTGGAACACAGTAGTTCCTGACCTTGTCCGCATCACCGCGCCGATACAATGACTACATTTGTCAACGAAAAAATCTTTTTTCAAATTTCTTTGAGGTTCAGGCCAAGTAAATAACGCTCTGTTTTCAGGCCGCTATGTGGGGAACAACGTCATCCGCGGCTGTTTCTCGACCGTGTTCAAGTACGGCGAGGTGCCCGTCAACAATGCCGCAGGTTGGTCTTCTTCCTTTTCGGTCCGAGTGGGCCCTGAATATTCAAACAAATTGGCGCCACTTAAGACCCCAAAACACATCTGGTTTTAAGTGAATACTAGTGCTGGAAAAGAATTAATTCTCGGAAAAAAACTACTGCTTGAGATAAAGCAAGTAGAGGAAGAACAATTAGGCACTTTAGAATGATGAATAATGGGTCAACATTATTGGAGGTGCAGTAGTTTTTTATGGGGCAGATGGAAGTGTTTGAGGAATTAATTTATGATTACGTTTCTTCGAAAATCCAAAATTAGAGAAACAAGAGGTAACTGGCTAAGTGCTTGAGGCTCAGCGTTGGAAATTAGACAAATCATTAAACAAATTTGTCAGCGATATGATACACGTCCAACGCGTAAAATTTGGAAAATTTTCTATGGATAACTAGCTCATATCTTACAAAATAGACCGAGATTTTTACGGTCAGAAGGAGCCAAAAAACCAGGTTTTCTTACAGTAGAAGGAAAACACAATTGTCTTGCACAAAGGTTGCAACGATACGCCCAAAACCGTATACATATCTGGTGGCTTTTTCTAATAAGCTCATGCTGTAGAATGCTATTATCGCCTAGGCACATAGGCAATAGAAGACGGCTCGAAAAAGTTCTACAGAGCGAAAAAATAAATCGCAATGCCTTTTTGGGTGTTTTGGTTGCAAAATTTCCACTCAATCTCGTGTAATATCCAACGATCGCTAGATCATATCAAAGTTCCAGACTAATTTTTTGCTTCTTTCAGAAACAAGTTGTTCCGCCTTTGGGATGAACCGCCTCCTCCCCAAACATTTGGCTGCCAAATCGTCTAATCGCACCGTCGAACTTTGCACTTGCATTGGCAATCTCTGCAATGACTATCCATGGGCTCCGCCCAATTCCGCCTCCAGGGTGCTGGGAACGACGTTCACGCTGATTGGAGTGTTTTTATTATCCCATTTTTGAGAAACGGGTCGTGTTGATCCAAATTCGTCTGATCTCTTTTGTAAATCGAATTCAGAACCCATTGAAAGCCTTTCAAAAGCAGGAGTTTTTTTGCCATTTTGAGCCTTTTCTTGATTATTGAATAATTTGAATTTTACGAAATGTAATTTTTGCGTTTTTGCAATAAAGTTTTTATTGTATAGAGGCGATAATGTTTGAAAGAGAACTGCTCAAATGTCATCCAAATTTGTATACGTTTTTGATCATACCAAGACATCAATTTTTGGAAGGCTTGCTGTCTACGGTTTCTCTGCAAAAAATGAAAAAATTTCTGGCAAAAACGAAAAGTAATAAGGAAGAGCCGTTTCTCATCAGCCCTACTCTCCCTATTTCACCCCGAAAACCGGAACATTTGATCTTTGAACATCTAGGCTGTTATGGGAAGCGCGACGTAAATTTTTGAGGAATTGCTGTGTGGCTAGTCCGATACCAGCTTGCAGAATTTTAAGGAAATCTTAGTTCCCCACCTGAACGACTTCCTTTGTTCAAGAATTTTGCAACAAATCTGAATGACGTCATTTTAGAGTCCATTATCTTTTGTTTTGATCTAATAATCATATTCTAATTTTGAGAGATATCGACTAATCAATCACCACTGCCCTTTATAAAACCGTCCGTTTCCATTTATTTACAATTTAACAGCCAAGTCAGTAACTCTTCTCGGACGATATGCAAATGAGAAACTAAAACAATATTTTAATGAAACGAAGGGACGGACGGAAAGGAGATCAAAAAAACACAGTAAACTTGAAACGATAAGGCTTATCACCGCCGTGAAATTATCACCAGTAGAAGAGAAGGAAGAGAAAATCTCGTGGTGAGGGTACTACAGTACAGTTAAACAATATGCTCCGTAAATTGTTGGTTACAGTAAGACTGAGGGTTGTAATACTTGGGAAGAACCGATATATTAACGTGAAATGCGTTTGAGAAAATGAAGTATGAAGAAGATTGCAGTTTGATCGAAATTCCAGAAAATCGGTCATGATGACACTATTAACGACGCATATTTTTGCATATTTTCTTTTTGATATAGTTAACACATGCTTTGTGGGAACTGCAAAAAATACTTTTCCTTACAATGACCCTCGTTTTTGTGATTTTTTTGGACAAAAAGTCACGGATTTTTTAGAAATTCAAAATATTTCTGTTAAAATTGCAGCGAAACCCAAAAAAAATTTTTGACAACAAGGAAATTGCCTAATGAAGAAACACATATTGGCAAAATAGCAAAAATATGCATCACTAGTCAAGTCATTATGACGGATTTTTTGGAAATTCCTTAAAAATTTAAACCTTCGAAAAATCATAATCTGACGACAAAAACGATACTAAAATAAACAGGTTGAAGACCTTTAGTGGTATTCTCCAGCCGCATCTTCCTCTTCATTCACCACACTAACCTTCCCTTTGGCTTTGTAATTCTCCAGCTCCCTTATTAACTCATGCTGCGCTTTTAAGCTCTGAATTGTCCGCTGATATTCCGTCAAGTTCTCCTCGGAACGCTCGGTCAGCACACTGAGCTTTCCGCTCTGCTGATCCGCCTCCTTCAGCTGATAATCGCCTTCGTTTTTCAGCTGACTTCGCGCTCGTCGATGGAAAATGGCGACCATGAGGCCGAACACTCCGGATAAAATGAACATGAAGCCTGCCGCGACAAAGGTTGCGTCGTAGGATTTGGTGACGTCGAAGACCACACCTGAAAATTTACGGTTTTGTGGAAGAAAATGGGAAGCGACATTTTATACGATGAAATTTTTTTTTGGGAGTTTGTAACTGATGTGTCTTAATTTTTCAAATTTTGCCAGAATAGTAATCAGGTGGGCAAAAAATAAGTAATATTTTGTCTACATAGAAAAGGCGACATTTTATACGATGATTTTTTAAAAAAAAAATTAGTGGTATCAGGCGTAAATATATACGATGGGTTTTTTCTTGAAAAGAACAGATTTTTTTATTTTCAAAAAAAATTTCTTTTTGTAAAATACGTAGTTTTTTTGTCCTGCGTGATCATGACCAGAAAACGTTATCGTAAAACCCAAAAAAATAAATGCCTTACCTGCCAGAGGTGTTCCCATCAGCGACGCCAATCCACGAGAGACGACCAACAACCCGAATGAATTGGTCAATCTCTCTACACCCAGTAAATCGCTCAAAACGATCGATGTCAATGAGATGTATGCCGCTGAAAAAAAAGTGTTTTTTGTATTTGGTTTGAAAAAAATATTAAAAATAGAAAATATTTTTTGTTTGTTATTTAACATTTGGTAGCCATACCGTATTTTACAAACATAATAATTTTTGAGATTAATTTTACATGTTTCATACATCGCTAATGTCAAAAAAATCGATAAAAACCTACAAATAACAAATCCGAACAACGCGGCATATCCCATCAACATTGTGTAAAGTCCGCAAAAATAGCAGGCCATGGTCAGCATCCCGCACAAAATCAGCGAAGCATTCGAGATCGTCAATGCACTGAGCCATCGTCGATCCGCCATCCAGCCGAAGAAGACCCTTCCCACGGTGTTCGTAACGCCAATAACAGACAACAGGGCGGTACCCTCGGAGACGGTGGCTCCTCGTGTTTGGGCCAGGTCGATGATAAAAACCAACGGCACATAAAAGCCGAGCATCCCGATGATATTGCTGACACACATCAGCATCATCACCGGCTCCATCAACAGATTCACGTCGATCATTTCGTTGAAGGAGTTGCGGATTGCGTAGGGGATCCATTTGAATTTGGAGTCGTCTTGGAAGTCAAAGTACGGGTCGTTCTCGATGTTCTCGAGGCCTCCGATTCGACTGTAGCGGGATCCGCCAAGGCGTGAGGAGATCTCGGCAATGTCAACGCGAGACGTTGATTTGCTGGCAGTTTGAGCGACCACGGCCGCTGGGATTGAGATCTGGGACTCGCGGTAGTTCTTGAAATCGTGACCTGAAATTATGAGGCATTATTGTCGTGTACGTATTTTATAAATTTTCTTAATTAAGTCTTCTTGAAGACCTTTTTTCTAAAGAGCAAAAACGGTAGTTAAAATTGCAAAAATTCATTGATGATTGTCATCGTTTTACTATAACATTATCGATCTTGATTTTTCTAAATTTTCATTTCCCCTTCCCACTGACCTTCCGCTTCAAACTCTGGCAGATTCTTGATTGACCCTTGCAGAAAGATATCCTTCCGGCTGAACGGCCTTGTAAATTCTTTGGGATCAACTCCACTCAGCGCAATGCTGGCCATACTATCTCCGGCCGTGATGACTTGAGACTGGCTTAGCCTGCTCAAACTCTGAGCATAGCTGCGAACCGAGATCCGGCTCAATTGCCCCACCAGATTCCCTCGACTCTGTCGAAAGTCGGAGTTCAAATCTGAAGCCATTGAGGTGAGCGTGTGCTTTCTTGCTCTCACTGGAGCCACCTGAAACCGCTCGTTGGCAATGTGTTGGGAGCCGGCGCGACTTTTGTTGAGGACTCGATTCTCGGTGATTGGCGATAAGGCTGGGCGTTTCGGAGTCGACGGAGATTGAACTCCTTCTTCTTCAATGGTCGATTGACGATGGGTTTCGTCGTTGAGAAGTGGATGCCCATCTTCTCTTTGCTCGCTGAAGCATTGGGAGTCTGGACGAGATGCGAGGTCTTTGTGGATGGCAGCGTGCGATACAACCGAAGTTTGACGCTGAAAAAGTTGAAATAAAATTTCTTAACGACTATTTAACGGGTTGCTATTAGCGCCTTAGGGTCTTATATTTCCTCTCAAAGTAATTTTTGTTTTCGATACGGCCTTTTTTCATAATTTTTTTGTTTACTTCCCTGTCTACAACCGTTTATCCTTACCGATGCGAGTCTGGCCTCATTCTTCTTTTCGGCTTTTTTGAAGAGTTTCAGGAGCCGCTCTTTGAAGCCGGGCTTTGGCTCGTCTCCCGGCATTGGCAGTGGCTCAAACAGGCCGCCCATTCCAGCGGCCATTATGATCAAAACGGAGCAGACGTAGAGGGCAACTCGCCAGCCATATTCTGAAAGTTAATTGGGGTAAAAAATGACCTTCAGGGAAAAATTGAACGATGACCTTCAGGGAAAAATTGAAATTTTTCAAAAAACCTCAAAAGGTATCCTTGAGTATTTAATAATGCTGCGGAAGGTATCCTCAAAAACATTTGTGATAATTCAAAACTGTCTTTGAAAAATTTTATTTCGAAAAAATGTGACCATTTTCAAAAACGATCAAAAGTAATCCGGGATACCTTTTAAAAACTTCAAAAGTGATCCTCAATCTTTTCTTTCAAAAATGAAACATAACTAATGTTTCAAAAATTTCACTTACGTTCAATACAAAACTTGCAGATCAGCGGACAAACAAACGTTCCAAATCCACTTCCGGCGACCGCAATTCCCGTTGCCAACGCCCTCTTCGACTCGAAATACTGACTAACAACAACGATTCCGGGCAAATAGATCAGCCCAAAGCCGACGCCCCCGCAGAATCCGTAGAACAACAAGTGAACAAAAATATTGGGCGAAGCCGTTGAGGTGATGAAAGCCAACGCCGCGAAAAGAGCACCACAGATTACGACGCGTCGTGCGTCGTAGCGGTTGAGCAGTCCACCAGCGACCGGACCGCACAACAAACAACAGCCGATCAGGAGGGAGCCGATGAATGAGGTGAGGGCTTTGGATTCCTGAAGAGAAGGATTTTGGGACCGGAAAAACGACAACTTTCGGTTTGAAAATCGCAAAAAATCAAACTTTTTTATACTTTTTATGTTGTCAACCAACATCCTGCAACTTTCGGAAAAACAAGAAAAAATGTTCCAAAAGTATCAAAAGGTGTCCATTATTACTTTGAAAGCTTCTAAATTGATCATTTCTGTATTTTGCCTGGTTGTCAGCTAGTCAAAAAAGCTCAAAATATAATTCTGTCAAAAAAAATGGCGAAAGACCTCCAAAGGTATCAAAAATTATCCATAAAAGCTTTAAAAAACTTCATAAGCAATCACAAGAAGAAAACAACTTTTAAAGAATTATAGCCTATAGGCAGTATACTGCTTTTCAACCCAGTTTTAATTGATTCTTCACCCATGATTTTCTTCACCAACTCCACTTACTTTGAACTCCCTCTCGTATGCCCCCATAAACGGCCCAAACGAATTTGCGATTCCATCGACCACCAAGTTGTTGAAGAATGCCGCCGCCACCACAACCCAGCCGTAACCTCCGTCCGGAGGGACCGGCAAATGATCAGCAATTGTCTCTCCTGCTCGAAGATCAGGGTAGTTGCTGAGTAGCTCATTTAGCGTCATATTGCTTTGAAATTCGTTGTCTGGCATGATGGGTTCTTCATCCAGACTACCGGCATAGGAGACTTCATCCTCCTCTTCAAAGGCATGGTCGTCTTCGTAGACGCTGGGATGGGAGACGTCACCTGGAAATGGAAAATGAGGTTTGTTTTAGGTATGTGGGAACGTAATAGGGAGTCTAGTCTAGTTTTTTCAAGCAGAAGATTTTATAGAGCTATGAAGAGATTTTTTGGAGTTCAAAAGCAAATGAAACGGATTATGGTATCAAAAGGTATCACGTGACAAAGATGATGTTTGTTGAGGTTTTACAAAGGAGGGGGGATGAATTTATGAATGTTCTTGTTACATCTGTGGCCTTCTCCAGGACTGTAACATGCCTTGCCCATTCATCCCGCTACTTTTCCTTGACAAAGAAGCGATTTTTTGGTTACTTTTTTGATGCTTTATGACAATGAGGGTGGTCAATTTTGCTGATAAGAATCCGTTTTAGGTCCAAAGGAAAATTGGACTTCAACATCGTGTTTTACAAAAATTTCCCCTTTTTCTGCGGGCCAAAAAGTCTTAAAATTACGACTGTTCACATTTTTCGCTAAAAAATTTGAATCTAAAAAATCGTATTTTTCCGAACTTTCTGAGTTTCTCTTTGTTAGCCATCCCTTCAAAAACACCGTGATTCCCCGTTCTTCTCCATTCACGCATAATAATTTGACATTGTTCCTTACTTGGCGAGACGGGTCCAACGAGTGCATCGTGGGGCGCCTCTTCCTTCTTGGGCTCCTCTTTTGTCTCGGCCGCGCTGTCGGCCGGCTTGTTGTCCTCCGGCACTTTGTCGGTCATTCCCGAAAATAAGCTGAAAACGAGATTTTTTAGATTTTTAGGGGTATATTAGAGCACAAAAAAGATTAAATTATTCGAAAATAAAAATATTGCAAATAAAAAATGAATCAATTTTTTGAATATTCAAAAAATTTCAAAAGTAAAAGATGTGTAAAAGGGCTTTTTGAATACAAAATTTTCTAATCGGCAAAATTCAGAGAACAATCAGATGAATAAAAAAATAAAAATTATTCTGAATCGGGTGCAATGACTAGTCGAAAATTATCAGTGAAAGGCTGATAAGAGTTTGTGATATTTATTTAAAAAAACCGAACCGGAAGAACTCCGGAAAAAAAGGAAAGGGCAGGGATATTCAACGATTTTTAAGGCCAAAAGAATACGCGAAATGCCAGACAACGAATTTCAAAGCAACATGACGCCAAATGAGCTACTCAGCAACTACCCTTCTTCGAGCCGGAGACGATTGCTGATCATTTGCCGGTCCCTCCGACGTAGGTTACGGCTGGGTTGTGGTCAGAGAGATTGTCATGGCTCCGGAGCCGGCTCTTGACTCCGACTCTGCGCGACTCCGGCTCCGAGCCGGGAACCAGAGCCGGAAATTTTGGGTGCGGCTCCGACTCCGGAGTCCAAAGTCGGAGCCAGGCTTCTCAGCGTTCAGAAAAGGTTAAAATTTCGGACCTTGTTAAACCAAATTGCTCAAAAAATACTCGGAAAGATGTGCGTCGTACGACTTCGTTGCAAAAACGTTGGCAGTATGATCTCTGGCACTTATAACTTTTATTTTTGGAAAAATATCTTTAAAAAAAATTTTTGCTCAGAAGCCGGAGCCGAAACTGCAAATTTGGCCTCGGCTCCGGCTCTGGGAGCTAAGAGCCGGAGCCGAAGTTTGGGCCGTTTATGGGGGCATACGAGAGAGAGCGAGTTCAAGGTAAGAGGAGGTGATGAAGAAAAATCTGGTGAATGATCAATCAAAGCTGGTTTGAAAAGCAAGAACAAATTTGTCACAGTAAAAAATAATTTTTGGATATGCCAGTTTCGTGCGGAAAGGACTGACTTTTTCGGTGAAATATTTTCTCTACAGTAGATAGAAATAGGCATAAAACTTTTCATGTTAAAATTTGCAAAAAAGCTTCCCATTTTGTCCAACTTATTATGACATAAAACCCCCCGATCTTTCACAAAAAAGGTTTAAATTTCCTAAAAACAATATTATAAATTCGTGCAGAACGAGTTAAAAATAAGAAAAATCAAAATGAATTTCCTTCAAATCTAATGAGGTAATCGAATAAGTCCAACAAAACTGGTCAACACGACGCAGTTCATTGATCAGAAATCTTATTCTTTTGCAGAAAAATGAAATTGTTTTTTAAAGATGCAAAAAATATGGGAAAAAAGATTTTTTTTAAAAATTCAGAAGAGATTTTAGTCACTAATTTCCTTCGTTGCAGCATCATACAGATCAGGTTAGAGCAAGAAAAACAATGGTAAACAAGGTGTAAATTTCTGGAAATGTCACAGTAAAATCAAAGCGCAAGTAAAAAGGTGACAAGTGGGTGGCTGGATAATCATGTTGTTGCGCCGATAAATCGTAAGGAAAACATATTTTTTTGTATTCTATTATAAAAATCACAAATCACAATTTAGAACAAAGAGAGATTAATAAGAAATGACCGCTTAGATAAACGTCAAATTTTGCGTGAATAATCGGCCTAAAACCACAAATCAATTTTCGAAATTTTGTTTTTCCCACAGCCAACGTTTGGCTTTCAGCAGTGGGAAACACTAGAAAGAATACAAAACTTCACAGATTTTGTGTTAAATGATATTCACTACACATGAAAGTGTGTATAAATTGAAGCAAAAGTCGTTGTGATGCTTAAGTCTGTTCGTATGTCTCCTTGATAAGCTACTGGCGTTATCATAATATTTATTTGTCGAATTCTAAGCACTTAGGTAGCCAAAATCTTTTTGCAAAATGAATTAAAAAAATGTAAATCGTCATTCAACCCATCTTTTTGCATTTTTTTTATCCAAATAAATACTCAAATTTTCGAGATTTTTCGGCCAAAAAATCTCGGCGATTCTAAAATGCAACGCTTTTCACTTCTGCAATAGCAAGTCTTAACTTTACTTTCGCCTAATTTCATCACAATCCTTTGCCTCTGCAAAGACTTTGATCTTCCAGTCCAAATTTCCAAAGCTAACCGCAAACGAAAAACAAAAAAGAAATAAAAAGATCAACCAAAGAATTTCCCCCGAACGTCCCTAGAATGTCCCAGAAGCCAACCCCCTCTGCGGCCAATTCGATTATCTTTACAGTCTTTTTTGGCCAAATCATTTTTTGCAGACAAAAATTCCGTTCCGGCAAATGGATATGCTGACGTTGAGAAGCTGGCCATTTCCCGGAAATGACTCAGGGAAGGGGGACAAAACACTTTCGAAAAAGGTCTGCAGTTGGTCCCCTGAGGGGTTGTTGGGAGGGAAATCCGATGGACAAACAGGTCAGCGGGAGGTTGCGTAAGGAAAGGGTTTGGGTTTTAGTTTGTAACCTCAAAAGATCTGTTTTGAGGTGGGAGAATTTTAGTGGACTTTAGGTGCAGGTGGGACAGCGAAAGTGGCAAAAAAGTCGGTTATTTTTAGGGCAAAGAGAAGCTAAAAAACGAAAAATTTGATATATTAGGTCGTCCAGAAAGTTCGTTCGTTTTTTTCATTGCTTTTTTTTGCAATTTGTACAAGCTTTGTAAGGGAGAAAAAGCTGTATCAAATAAATACTATGTATATACCAAACAACAAACAATCCTTGTAAAACAAAGCAATGAAAAAAACGAACGAGCTTTCTGGACAACCTAATAACATGGCCCAAATTTAGAATAAATTTTTTCTGGGGCATGGTCAAGACTTCTAACCTCGCTTTTCCAGCAGCGAAATAGTCAATAAATGCCTTATAACATTTTCTTGTTTTCGATGACTTTCCGTACTGTAGGTGCTTTAAATGTTGCAAAAATGGAAGTTCTACCGTCAATGTATTGCAATGTCTGCACCCATTCGCTTGTTTAGATAAAAAAAAAGTTTTGTGAAGCCTTTATTCCCAAGGGTGACTCAGCGAATTTCGTCAAAACTTTGCCTAGACAACAATGAAAGTCTTCCAAAAAATTTCTATTTACATTATTACAAGCTATTTTAAAATACGGCAAGTAATGACAAAATTAATATTTGTCCATCGCAAGGAATGAGTTGATCGCGGAGAATGAAGCCGTTCAAAAACGGCTTCATTCTCCGCGGTTTCTTCGGTGAAGAAACTTGTAGAAAAAAAGAAAAACAAAAGTTTCCGACGAGACAAATGGGTTGAAAAGAAAACAACGGTGATTCAAGGAACGGTGCGGAACGTTCGAGGACACAAAGAACGTGGAGAAGGGAGGAAGAAGCTCGTTCCAGCTTATGGCCAGGAATCCCTAATGAAAAGACCAAAAACACATACTTAAGAGTGCGTTCGGAAACGGTTCAGAGAGGTAAATAGTCTGGAGGGGGAGGATGGAGACGGCAGGGGGTGCTTTGTGCTATCTTTTGATCCCATAAGACAGTTTTACTAGTTCGTCCGGAACGTCGTTTGAGCGATTTTTGACATTGACATTTGCAAAGTGCATTTCGAAAAACGAAAAGTCGGACTGCCCAAAAAGCCAATTGCATGGTGCAAAGGGCAAAAAATAGCATAGTGCAGAGTGAATTGCAAAAAAAAACTTGAGGTTTAGAAACCCATTATTTTTGGTCGGGAATAAGAAAACTTTCTTTATGTTTTTTCGGCATACAATAAATAATATGAAAGGAGTCTGGTGGAATAATCTTTTATGCTTTCAAGCAAGATGGTGGAAATGAAGAAAGCAAAACATATCTTTAGAAGGTTTCGCCGTCCTGATTGCGAAAGTATGGACGCTGTACATCGGCTTCGTGAACTCAGTAAATCCGTCATAATGACACATTTTTCAAAAATAATTTAAAGAGTCGCTCAAGATGGCTCACAGTGTTATTTCGACTTAAAATATCGTATGGTAAAAGCTTAGGTTGACAACATACTAAAGGATTAAACAGGGTTTTCAATTTCCAGTTCCAGCATGTCCACTGGCCTTATAGGAATGACAGATCTGACAATGCTGCGAACGACATTTCATTAGATGTAATATTGAAATATTTATTGCCCCCCTAAGACAACCCATGGTAGACAGCACTACCCTAATGTCTGACAAGGTCAAAAAAACTCGGCCATCTTCCCAGAAATCTACCAAAAAACGAAAAAATGGAAGGTTTTATTCTTTTGCTCACGCAATTGTCCCCTAGGACTAGAAAGGTGTATTTACACTGCATGGACTTATTTTTTATTTACACAGTCTCAGTTTATAATACTTCAAGGTTGTTTTGGAGAAAAATAAATGATGCTACAGATTACAAGGGAATATTTATTATGTGGAACGCTCTAATTTTTTATTTAGAAAATTTTACCTCACACTTTTCAGTCGTAGTTGAGTTATCCAACAATCTTTGTCGACGAGAGAGTGTGCGAAATGTGGAAAGCGTTTAGAGAGTGGCTTTTTTGGCTATATCATTGCCAATTTCGCAAAAAAAAAACGAAAAACCCTTCCACCTACGGCAAAAATTAAAGTTTGAGTACAAAAACTCCCTCTATGACATATCATTTTTCATTTTGGCCCCTTACAAGTTGTTCTACAGAGGATTCATTGTATTTTTTTAAAGTTTAGACAAGTAAGCCTATCCCTCGATATTTTGAAGAAGACACACTTCAAATTGTAAGTACAATTTTTCGAGTTTAATACACGTGCTGGAAATTTGATGTCTAGCCTTCTGTGGACATACGAGAAGCCCCTGTTCTTCGAAAAGTATTTACAACCTATAGCGAGTATTGTAAAAGAGTCAGAGATCAACTAATTGGATATAAAACACCCCGTGGAATCAAAATTAATAATTTTTAGTCAAAAAAAAATAAAAAGTAAAAAAATAAGAAGCTTGAAAGATCTTAAAATAGCATTTTTACAGTATAATGCACGGCAAAATTAAAGATTCCCGCAAGAAAACCAAAAAAATGAGATTTTTCGAAGAGCCCGGAAAATATGTCTGGACAAAGAAGCGGGACGTAAACAGACCAATTATGAAATATTCAAAATGAAAGATTGCCTTTTAGGCCGTCAAAATTCATAAAATATCATACAAAAGTTACAGGAACATATTTTAAAAAATCATTAAAATTTTTGAAGACTTAAGGTTTAGATGTAAAAATTGTAAAATACGGCCTGACTCGCAACGCACGGATTATGAAAAATTTGGATTTACATAGCTCTTGGTATCGTATGCCACTGGAAAACTCAAAAAATGTCGGAATTTCGGCGGACATTTCAAAAAACCCGTAATTTCCGCAGTCAACGTCACCCAATTTCTATTGCACAAGCTTCACAAAAATACTTGCTCCATTCCAGAAGTCACGACTCTTCCAACTCTCCGTCTTTTAGCACCTCCATGGGGCAATCATTTCGCGGGAAAGTGGGCCAAAACCCCCCACCTCCTCTCCCCGTCGGCCATAAACTCGTATTGCGCATTGGCACGACATGCAGCCTTTTTTGCGACGCGATGAGGGGAAAAAGAAAGCCGGCTCCACGGCGCGCCCCGGCTTTTTCCTCCACCGGCTTCGGAAGAGAGGAGGACGAAGCCACGAAGCGACCTCGGCCCAACGCTCGCTGCGAAAAAGGGAGGGCTCGTTTCGAGGAAAAAATGGGGGAGAAATTTCCATTCCCACCGAATATTCCACCACAGCCGGCTGCCGCGAAAACGGCCCGGGGACGCGAGGGTTTTATGACGGGGATTTCGAAAATCCCCCCTCTCGTAGGCCAAACGCTCAGCCCGTAGTCGGGACTGGGAATGATTTTGGGGGGTTTCGGCCGTTCGGCCGCGATCAAAACAGCCCATATTTCAAAAAAAACGTTATATGAGTTTGAAGGGGCTAAAAGATTAAATTGAAGAGAACGAGAAGAAGCTAAAGTAGTATCGATCATAGAGTTCAAACGAGGAATTTGTACAGTTTAAAAAAGAGATAAATGATTGGGGAAATTGGCTGATAAATCAAAGGGACAAGGGCTTTAAGGAGAGAGTGAATGTTGCAATTTTGAAATTACGAAATTTTGCGTGAAAAGAAGGCCATGGCACGTATGCAATGGGTGGAGAGATTTGGCCTTACTCACAGGGAAAGTTCTCAAAGCGTGACGTTTAAATTTTATTGCAAATTTAGAACACTTTTATCGTAGACTTAAGATTTCTAAATCTAAATCTTTAACGTCATCAAAAATTTAACCCTTGCAAATCGACTATTTTTAATGCTAAATACCACAGGCTATCTATGAGGTAAGACAGATTTCTGACCGATTCAAAAACACTTTTCCGGCATGATACGTCAACGTTAACGTTAGTCAGAGTGCAAAAGTCGTCTTAATAATCCGTCCTGAGAACAATTCCGCACAAGATGAACCCCCACATAAAAACCCTCGAACGGTCTTCCCTCACGATTTTGAATCATCTTAAAAATCGAATTCAATGAAAAAAGAAGTCGCAAGGTCCGAAAAAACGTATTGTTTGAATTCATTTTTATTAACCGTTACATGGATATTCGTATATTTATAAGGAGTACATCATATTTCGCCTCAAAACACAAAAATTTTACGTTGTTTACGATGAAAAACAGGTAAAACTGCGCCATATTTTCTTATGACATTGTTTTTCGAATAAAAATCTATCTCTCCGAACGGAGGAGAACATCTGGATGGGAAATATATTATTATAGAAATAAGAGTGCAGAAAATCAAAACGAATCCCCAGGTCTCGGCAAAAGACGTTATTTATCGCTCTTTGGCCGCGATAAATTTTATCATAATTCGATCTGAAGACAAAATATAATATAATTCGTTTGAAATTTTTTAGGAATGACTAAGACGTTTCGTCATTCTTGGGAAAGAGAGGGGTAAAATACGATATCGTCCGCTGTTTTTTTTTGACTTGTCAAAGAAGTGCAAAAGATTTTTTTTTTTGGCGTATGAATTATAGTTGTGGAAGCAACAAAAATGCTCAGCCGTTTTTTCAGATTACAGAGTATAGCACTCAAGCTGACGCGGTACCGATTTTGTGGATTTTAAACACTCCTGCGGTTTGTACAGAAACGGTTTTGCTCTCTAGTTACTTCTGTTCCAATTGGAATGAGTAGATCTTGTCTTTTGTGGCAGCATTGGCAAAGCTTCATCAGGGCTCGGCCAACTTTTTGCAGAAACTAAGCCAATGCTCCCCGGAGACTTTGACGAGACTTCATCTACAGGCTTAAGAGAGCTGAGGCAAACTGGGGTCAAAACGACTAGGCTTTACTTGAAGAGAAGACGGGTAAGAGCTTTGGGGCGCAAACGGTGCAAGATGCAGTGGCAAGTAATTAAAAACAAGCCTTGGAGACAGTAACAGAACAAAGGTGACTATTATGGGACATGAAGAGTTGAAATCCTAGAATCTGCAGACAGATTTGTGAGTCATCAGCAGCGCTAGTCAAAGGAATTTTGGCCTAACATCGTCTTTAGGATTTTCCGGTAGCCTTGCAGATTCTTCAAGGCAAAGCGATCAATTAGCTTTAATATAGCATATAGCAACATGAACGAATGATGTCTTATATGCAACTACACATCCTTGCCACACTCCTCCTCTGATGCGCGTTTATTCTTCTAAATATTTACTATCAAACACACTTTATTGCACAAAAATTTACTAGTCTTCCCAATATCTACATCAACACATGCATTTATGTATCCTGCAAGAAGGCTCCCAGAAATTATTCATAATTTATTTGGGCATAAACGATTACTGCTTGGACTTCTTTTTCTTGGCCGGACACGTTTTCAGTTGGACGCATTGATTGTTCGCGTTTCGGACGAATCCCCTCAGGCAACCGCATTGTTTGGCACCGCATTCCGAGGACGTGATGCAGACGGGCGCGCCACAGGTGGGATCACAGGCTCCACATGGCTTCACTTCTTCGTTCTCGCCGCATTGAAGGTCTAAAGAGTGGGAATCATGAGAAAAGATGATCGGAAAATACATGAAACGACCTTGCACTTTTAGAGGACGGTAAAGCCAATATATTACTTGCTTTTGTAATGAGATTTTGGGAATAAAAGTGAGAAAAGAGGGCACAGAAAAGGATACGATAGATGAGATTCCACCTTTATCTTGGCATTTTTTCGTTGCCTGGAGATCTATCTATGAAATTCTAATATTGATAAAAATCGCTCAGCGTAGAATTTTCAATTTTTTTTTTGAGTCTTGTTTCCGTGTCCTATCTTGGCCACTAATCAACTGATTAAAACTTTAGCTTATTTGACCTCAGGATAAATTCAATACATGTAAGAAAATAAGAGGAAATGAGAGGACTTAGAAGCCCAGAAATAAGTGTTTTCTCGACTGAAAAACTCAAAATTTTGCTGATAATTACTGTAGAATGTTGAGTCCCGAGACGAAACCTACGACTACGTTATTGGCATTCCGTTTCATTCGAAGCTTCTCGAAGCCTAGAAGAAAAGGGAGCTCGGTTGTTACATATTATTCAGTGAATGTTTGGTGTTACGCTACGTTTTGTTATTACTATTCTGTAATAAACCTATCTATATTTATTACCCTACATCTGGCTGACTACATACCTTCACAACTACACGTGAAGATACAACATAGAACACGTAGAATTATCGTCAACTTTCAACTACAGATTCTATGGGTTCTCAGTAAAGCGAAAAAAAACTTTTAAGCAGAATGTTAAATCTTGGTTCTAGCTAACCATAAGTCTGACAAAAAAACTAAACTTTGAAACGCAATACCTTTCTCTGCGAACTCCCTACTACAATGAAGAATAGACGAGCCCCAAACTTCACAAAAAGACATAAAATTCAACTCACCATCGCAAACCAAGCTTGGCGTTTCACATCCCTTCTTGTCCGTCGTATAATTATACCTACATCCGGCCGGTGGCACTGCTAATCGCAGCTTGTGGCAATTGCTTCCAGCATTTGGAACACACACACTATCCGTGCAAGTCGCGTAACTTGGACAGTTAATGGAGTCACACGGATTTCTGAACGATATCGTGGACTCATATTGTGCTGTTGATGTGCTTGGAAGCGTTGGCGGAGATGGTCGTAATGTCGTGGTCGTAGATGTTGTAGACGTTGTAGTTGTTGTCGGGAGAGTTGTTAGAAGGGTGGTGGTTGTTGGGAGGGTTGTCAGAAGGGTTGTAGTTGGAACAGTAGTTGGCCGAGTGCGTGGGGGTCTTCTGGAGGTCGTGGGTTGGGATCGTCGGATTTCCTGGACAAATACGATTGATTATTTATACAGGGTGTACCAATTTGGTGGCCCGATTTGAATTGGCTATAACTTCTTTAATTTTGGGCCAAATTTTAAAATTCTTTTTTTCCCTGAATCCGCAGACATCCCCATTTTGTTTAATCATCTAACGCCGCAAAGATTGCAGCAACAAACTTAAAAAAACAATAATGTAACTGCTTGCCGCGTTTCATCAAACTTAATTCACCAAAAAAATAGAAGCCTCCGTATTCTGCGAATTGTTTAAAATACGGCGCCGCAGAATTTTTTGTATTATAGATTTTGCGAGAGATTAGGGAAACAGGGAGAGATAATTAGTTACCTGCGCGATCAGAGTCGACAACGAAACGCCCACAGTTGGACTTGCCGTAGTTTCTGTCCTAGCTCTTGATCTCGACCTTCCAGACGAGGTGCATTCACTTTGAGTGACACATTCATTATCAGCATTCCTCAAATACCCAGTTCTACATCCGCACTCCGTGGCACCACACATCAACGAACAAACTTTGGATTTACTCGAATCACAATATTGATCGCAGGCCCCGCAGACAATAGCCTCCTCGTTTTTGCCAGTGCAATTCAAGTCGCCAGATTTTGATGACAAATTCAGACTGTCCGAGCGTTTCCGAGGCTTTCCGTTGATGCAAATGTCCTGACAGTCGCCGAGGCTGTCAAAGTTGTTCTCATTTCCACTGCAGCCGCCGTAGATGAAGGGCGAGCATTTGCCGGAGCGGGTGTCGTAGTAGTATTTTGTGGTCTTGGCGGAACATGGACCGGGCTGAGGGTCGAGGAGGCAGCCCTGAAAAGATGATGATATTTAACGAAGAAGTGGGCTAAATGAGCCTCTTTGGTAACAGAATTATGGACAGATTCTCGAAAAGGTAGGAGAATGAAGTAAAAATATAGACATAATTTTAAGCGCTTAGCCATTTTAAAATACGCCGGGAAAATAACCCCACAATGTTTTACAACTAAACCATTATGAAAAACATTGCAGGGTACCAAAGAATTGATACGTTATAGGAAGGTCTTGCAGTACAGAATCTTATCTTGACATAAAAACTGACGAACTGGCTCATTGAGCCTCAGGAATTGCTGACTTTTCACTCGTCGTTGTCTACAGAGCCTTAAGAACGTATTTCCGACATACCTCATCAATAGCCGGGTCCTGACAATCCAATTTGTAGGCCACACATCCATCTTTGGTCGTGTTCTTTTCCCACGTGCATCCAGCTATCTCATTTGACGGCTGAATCTCGTCCGTGCATGCTGACACCAACGTCCTAATACTCTATAAACATCATCTTATAGTTATTGTGACTGATATGATTAATTAACTAGATCGACCCCAGGGAACTTACAACAAAGGTCAGAAGTAGTAAAGGCCAGCGGAACATAATGTTTCAGGCATTCGAAATGAGGAGATCAACCTCACACGCAAACACGTCGCGTTTCCCACTAAACCCCCTCCGCGGATTATCCCCCATCACAGGAAATTCGATCAATTAAAAGGATAGGATATACGGAGGGCTATGTGTTATATTATTCAGAGGGGTTAAAATACAGTAGACGGAAATGGAGGGAGAAGAACCGGGGTTTATGTCGTTTTGATCAATGTGGGACAAAAAAGCGCGGATTATTGGGAGGAATAAAAGATTTACACTGAAATTCCAGGGAACGGATTGTCTGGGTTTCAAAAAGCTTTATTTGTTTACATCGCTAGCATTCTTTTCTTCAATTTTAACACCACAACTTATCTTTTTGCTATTATTATAAGTTCAATTTGCCTAGCCGGCCCCATAAGCCGAAAGTGGTCGTCCCGACCCGTCTCAAACTTGCTTCGACCTGTGGGCCACCTCAGATATCAGTCTGTCGGGAAAATAATGGCGGATCGTCGCATCAAAGTGTCTCGCCTCACCGCTATCGCGCACCGAATCTCCAGCTTCGGCAGCCTTCGCAAGGCGATGATGGGCGATTCCGAAGTGCGACGATCCGCCGTTATTTTCCCAACAGATTGATACACACTGACTTTATTCTTGCACCGTTCAAAACCAACAAAGAAAAAAAGGATTTTTTGCACAATGGAAAGTTGAATCATCGTAGTCATAGAGTACTCTTTGAAGAAAAAAATAAAGCGTATACAGTAAAGCATGCAAAAGGCCAATGTTTCCATCGATTTTTTAAAGCTTAAAAATCACCTTTTATAATGGGTTTTCAATATTTATTAAAAATAAAGTCAACAATTGGCAAAATCCATCCTAAAAGTTATCAAAAACAACAAGACTTCCTCTTCTTTGATTAAAAATTATAACTTGTCATTAATTTCCACTTCTACTCCGCTTCGACCAGTCCAAGGCACTTTTGGAAGACTCCCGTAAATCCATTCACAATATCCTTGAAAGTTTTTGGTTGCCAAACAATAAAAATCACATAAATTGGAACCGCCGTGAGCATAATTCCGAGGCCAATCAAGGTGTCCAACGGTTTTGAGAGAATCGGAATCAAAACGAGGCCAATACAGCCGATAAAGAATAGGATTGGGACAATAATCCAGACTTTTATGGGTCTTGGTGCGTCCGGCATTGTAACTCGGAAGTAAAATAACGATGCAATGGCTCCTGCAATAGCTAGCCAATAGCTAATTTGAATGTAGTTGATCAGTTGGATGACGTCATTGCTGAGGGCGAGATAGGCAATGGATAGAAGACCCTGTAAGATTTGGGAAATTGATAGGATCGGCGAGTTCACAAATTTGGAGCATAGCTTCCACATGGTAAAACACGTGATTAATGTCTGGTAAAAAATAATCTACTTCGAGAAGTCGATTACTAAAAACTTTGCATCTTGCAGTGTCAGCCGAAACCTCTATCGTGGGTAGCAGGCGAAATGGAAAGTAAAATTTGCAATGTCGGAGATCTGCAATCCGATTTTTGACAATGTCTTTCTATATGTTCTTTGCAAGGAAATTTTTTGCTACAATTTAGACTTATAGCTTTCATAGCCAAAGAATGATCCATACTTGTTTTTGTTTCGCTATAAAATTTCTGATGTAAGGATATAAAGGTGGTCACCGAATTTCTATGCTTTTATTTTTTCTGTTGCGTCAAATTTCAGTGCAAAAATGGGTTGACATTGATTTTGAAAAAACAGTGCCAAAAAAGCCCGGAAATTTGGAAATAACCAGTGCGGATTTTGGGAAATCGCTGCAGGACGAAAATTAAAACGCACTTCGCGAGTTGCTGAAGCAGGCTCAAATGGGGGTCTGCCCTAGAAATAGACCCCCACTTTTTTTTGTCTTACCTGATGACATATAGGATTCTAAAAAACTTGGTGAAATTTTTTCCAAAAATTCGTCATCATGACCGAGATATGACGTATTTATTGAATTTCGCATAATGTGTTATATTGTACTGATTTATTGTCTAAACATCTCACAACTGGGTATATATACGTTATTGGCCACGCTGAACAACTTTGTAATTGGCCCGAAGTTTGTCAGGTTACTGTAACATACCGTAACGGCCATGCTCAATCAAAGAATCTCGATTTTCTCGATTTTTTTCAATAATTTTCTCGGAATTTTTTTCCATTTTTGGAATCAGCATCAAATTCTGCATCGGATAGGCTATATGCGCATCTCCAGATAGGTGTACAAAAATGTCGTGGCGCAACCGGTAGTGGGTCGGACTACCATTCAAAAGGTCCCGGGTTCGAGTCCGGGTGGAAGCAAAAATGCTCAAACGCGCTGGAAATTGTCCCGAAACAGTTGCAATCTATTGGAACTGTGGTAAAAATAAATAATAATTAACATTTTTCCCTAAAAAGGCAAAATTTTGGATTTTACAAAATTTTTGAAAATCGTGATTTTTGTGGGCCCAAATCTGCCGAAGAAATGAAAATTTTTTGTTACCGCCTTTTTTGTTTAGAAACAACGCAGGGCACATATAAAGACTATTCCTCAGAGGATTTCGTTCAATTTTGCCCAAAACACCAAAAAGTTGCTCTTTTTTGTTTTAATCGGAGAGCCCCGCCAGAACCCAGTAAACCGAAGTAACGTCATTCAAACGTGGATACACATGTTTTGCACTATGGGGAGTCGAATTTTTAGCAAATTTTACAAGATTGAATACTGTAACATCATGAAATATGTGAATATCTACAAATTTTTTAGTGTAAAATTTTTTGTGGAAGATTTTCGCGGCTATTAGAAAGCTATTTAAAGGCAGCGAAAAAAACTGCTCTAGAAAAATTGGACACGTTTCCGCGTAAGAACGCCTGAAAATCATTATTTCAATTTTTTGTCAAATGGCAAAATACGAAAATTTTTTGGTGTTTTGGGCAAAATTGAACGAAATCCTCTGAGGAATAGTCTTTATATGTGCCCTGCGTTGTTTCTAAACAAAAAAGGCGGTAACAAAAAATTTTCATTTCTTCGACAGATTTGGGCCCACAAAAATCACGATTTTCAAAAATTTTGTAAAATCCAAAATTTTGCCTTTTTAGGGAAAAATGTTAATTATTATTTATTTTTACCACAGTTCCAATAGATTACAACTGTTTCGGGACAATTTCCAGCGCGTTTGAGCATTTTTGCTTCCACCCGGACTCGAACCCGGGACCTTTTGAATGGTAGTCCGACCCACTACCGGTTGCGCCACGACATTTTTGTACACCTATCTGGAGATGCGCATATAGCCTATCCGATGCAGAATTTGATGCTGATTCCATAAATGGAAAAAAATTCCGAGAAAATTATTGAAAAAAATCGAGAAAATCGGGATTCTTTGATTGAGCATGGCCGTTACGGTATGTTACAGTAACCTGACAAACTTTGGGCCAATTACAAAGTTGTTCAGCATGGCCAATAACGTATATATACCCAGTTGTGAGATGTTTAGACAATAAATCAGTACAATATAACACATTATGCGAAATTCAATAAATACGTCATATCTCGGTCATGATGACGAATTTTTCGAAAAAAATTCACCAAGTTTTTTAGAATCCTATATGTCATCAGGTAAGACAAAAAAAAGTGGGGGTCAATTTCTAGGCCAGACCCCCCTTCCACAGCTCGCGAAGTGCGTTTTAAAGTGTGCACAGAAAAAATAAAAGTCTAGAACTGCGGTGACCACCTTTATATCCTATGTCCCACAAAATTTAGACAAACTTTATCAAAAAGCGAACATCGAATTGAAATTTTTTAATTGTAATTGTAAAATACGGCTTTTCCTCAATTTCAGTATTGTACACCTACAAGCCCTTTGTTTAAATTCTCTGACTATGTACCTTCTATCATATCAAAATAAAAAATAACTTACAGTCAAAGTAACCGCCGGAATCGGAGTCCTTGTTTTTGGGTTGATCATCATCAACAACCTCGGCATCTGCCCTTCCCTTCCGCCGACATAAAACAATCTCGAAGAAGTGAAGATGACTCCATTTGCTGATCCCAAAGTTGAGCAGGCCACAAAGATGGGCATGATGACATAAAACGATTTGTATGCCTTCTTGGCAAAATCGACTGCAATGGCCGGAGATGTCAACATGTCTTCAGGGCTGATCAGAGTGTAAAATGAGACATTTACAAGGAAGTAGATGACCGTTACGCTGACACAGGAGATGATAATGGCTAGGGGGAGGTTTCTAAAATTAAAAGCTCATGAAATTTTAAATCATATTTTAAAATACGCCCATGGTAAGAAAGCAAATTCCATCTGTACGCTGTAGCCAGGTTTTTTAATTGCTTTTTCACACAAAAAACTTACCGTTTGGGATTCTGGAGTTCTTCCACGATAAAATTCAAATAATTCCATCCTTGAAAAGCAAAGAGACCGGAGTAGAAAGCCAATGCGATTTTTCCTGGATCTGCCGAAGAATTCGCCCAAATATTTTCGAAAGACTCGTGGTATTCAGCACCTCCAAATACGAGGAAATAAAGGCCAGTAAAGATGATCAAGATCAACGCAAAGACCTTGGCAATTGTAAAGGTGTCTTGGACGAGAGTAGCAAGCCGGATGGAAATGCAGTTGATGAAGGTGAGAAGGACTGAAATTGCAAAATATGCTGACAATAGACGTGCAAGAGAAAAGATATGAAACATGGAAAAAATTCGATCTTTTTGAATCAAAAAAATATAGAGTACGTGTGTATAAAAGACTGCATAAAAATACATTGCTTTTTCCGAAATTTAAGAAAAATTTACATTTTTAAAACTGCTGTTGTGAAAAAAATTATTTATCTACTATGAAAATGCACATTATGCTAGGGAAACTAAATTTTAGATAAAAAATTGAATGACAGTGTTCTATGAAAGTAAAGGCTTCCAGAGCGTATTTTACAATAACATCGAACACACACAACTTACCCAGCAACAAAATGGACAATAAAATCTTTGGAAACAAAGGAATCTCACAATCCGGGAAGAATGGACCAAGAACGTAGGTTGAGAAAGTCAGTGCAACAATAGTGCAAGTGCAGGGCCTGAAAACAAGAAGTATCCTTGAGGAATTTATAAACAATTTTTTCTGCAAATTGACAAATGCGTACATAGCTTGAAGAATGCTGAGAATACACAGATTTTTAGCCGGTTTGGAGGCGGAAAATTGCGGAATATCTTAAGGTACTGTACCAAAAAAGGACTTTCTATGTTAATAAAGTTTAGAGCCTCATTTTCGAGGCCATGTGCAGGTGTCTTAGCTGGCCGTGCCCACTAAAGAAGTTAATTTTTTTCTTCAACAGTTGAAAAAATTGAATTTTTTTGCGATTTTCAATTTATCTACATACTTCAGGATAAACTATGTAAATACTAGCCGTTTATCCTTTCACAATTTAGTTTTCCCCCACAGCCTTTCACTTCCCATACACTAAATATTTACTGCAATAAAAGGGCAAATGACGTCAGTCAGCGACGTTAATCCCCTTAGGCATGTATCGTCTTGAGAAATCTGACTAACATGGAAAACAAAAAATATTTTTAATTAATTTGGAAAACATGGGTTCTTCCGGTAAACAGCTGGCCAAGTTTTCCCCCCTTCTTGGCCGAGAGTATCTTTTTGCGTTTCCAAGAGTTGGTCAGCACTTTGTCCTGTTCGGGCAAAGGTCGAGCCGAACGTGCCGGATAAATAATGAAAGGAAAAAACGGATAAAGACACTTTTTATTGCTTTTCAGTAGCTTTTTTCTTATTTTTGGAGAGCTTTTTACAAGTTTTTTCGAGAAATTTTTTTTTTCTTACTGACATGAAAGTTGACTTAAAGAACGGATACGTTGGAAATCTGTATATTGACGGACGCAAATTCTGAATTGAAGTTTCAAAAAAACAACTCGTATATGTCTAATATTTTAATCTTTCCATAAAATTTGCAGACTTTTTTCGCCGCGCCGCGTGCATTTGGAGCACTGACTTTGGTAAAATTTACAGTTTCACATTTGCCGCTTTTGTCATACTAGGTCGCGTCAGAATTTTTACAGTGAGTTTTTTCGCCTGCGCCGCTGCACGGCAACCCAGGGAGTCTCCCGCCTCGTTTCGGCACTTCGCCCACCTAGTATCGGTTGAATTCAAACGAAATGTCAAAAATGAATTTTTCGTGCGGGTTTCCGACCAAAAAACATTTTTCTCGGAATTATTTTATTTCTTTTGCCAATTTTGACACTTCGTTTGGACGAAGCTCAAAAGTGGGCGGGAGACATTTTTGTTCTATTTTGGGTTGCCGTGCGCTGCGACTCCACTTTCTGCCGTTGCGGCAGAACTCTCCCCCTTTTCTGTACTTTCCCTCAATCTGAACTCTCCCCCTTTTTGAACACTCCCCTCCAGAACTCTCCCCCTTGAATGAACCCTTCCCCATTTTGAACGCAAATTAGGTGTGACATCTTATACGATGAAAAATTTTTTCAAATTGAGAAAAATTAGGTGTGACATTTTATACGATGAAAATTTTTTTCAAATATAACATGTCACTCCTTACTCTTTTCAAACACAGTGCATTCGAGCACAGTGAATTCGAGTTTACAAGCAAAATTGCTGCGACGAAAGCTTTTTTCCACCGCGTCGCCGCAAAATCTCTGACAATTGCACGGGGCAAACATGTTTTGAAAATGATCGTGTCTCGCGAAGCGGAATGCACAGTGCAAAACTTTTTCCTCAAGTGCCCCAAAAATCAGTGACTTTCCAAAAAGACCCGTTTCTGTACGTAGGTTTTAACCCAAAGTTCCCAGCGCTCGCCGTATTTGTCTAACTTTTACTTCAAATCTTCTTTTCCAACCCCCAAATTTTAATCTAGAATTAACTAATGCTTTGTTTCTTCCTTTTACTGTACGAATTCACAGAAGACGATGGAATTGTTTGCCGGATTAAGTCCATTCGTCTCACAAAGAGCCGAGCAACAGTGTTTATGCTTCCAAACATCCAATTTCCGTCCTTTAATCCGCCAACTTTCCCCATTTCTTTGTACTTTTAACGAGTTTTGCAGTAACCCTTTTTTTGACTTTGCAACAAAAAATAGTGAGGAATTAGTGGCCTTTGAGTTTTTGGGGTAATTTGAGTGATGTTTGAATTTTTTCTAAATTAAAAAATTTCCGCAAAAAAGATGCCATTGACATTTTTTCTCTTCAGTTTTGTTTACTGATAGGGAACGTTTGGCAGTTGTTCTGATACATTTTTTTGGGCTCTTCGTTGCTCAAATGATCAGAGAACAGCAATGTCTGATCAAACAGTGAGGGGTTTGTTTTATTTTTGAATTTGTTTTATATTGATTTAAAAACTCGAAAAATCATTTTTTTGATGTTGAAGAAGCTGAGAAAAATACCTCATGTTCTCCGTCATCATGGTCAAATTTTACTACCTTACGATAGCTAAGTTTAGCCAAAAATGAACCTCAGTACACCGATAATTTTTTTATCAACTTGTTATACAGAGGTTCTTTAATCAATTCCCATCGTTATTTTCGCCAAGTTTTTTTTTGACTTCTCAGCAGAAAAAGATCAACTATCAGCTATAAATTTGTCATACTGTCAATCCGCCCTTTAATCCGCTTTTCCTTTTGTCTGTTTCTGATATGAAATGTCCATTAGCAAGATTCAGACGGTAGCCTGTTGGCATTTAATTAATTCAGTTTTCTTTATTGCTCAACATTGCTTGTTAATGCCTCAACTTTTTGTCTTTTTCTGACCTTCTAAACTCTCACAATTCTCTCGACTCTCTTACCTCACTACCATGGCTTCAATCCAGAGCCGAATGAACGCCAAGAATGGGCCGAACGCCTCCTTGATGTAGGCATAATCGCCGCCGGACTTGCGGATCAACGTCCCCAACTCGGCGTAGCTCCACGCGCCCATCGTGGCGAACAGGCCGGACGCCAGCCAAATGAGTAATGAGATGCCCACACTTCCGGCCTCTAAATTAGAATTGCGTTGGAATTGCGTTCGAGGAGGTCGTTCTAACGGGTGTGCGGGGATAATGAGTCAAGGGTAATGTGCCGAGACACCAACTTTTTTGCTAATTTCCCTATTCTTGGCGGGCAAATTGAACTTTCCGTGGCAGAATGTCATTTCGAATGTTTATTGGAGGCGGAAAGTGGGAGATCAGAAGCCAAAGAGGATTACGGTAAGCGAGAATTCGTAAGTCATCATTTTTTGGGATTTGAAGAAGAGGTGGTAACGTATTTTACAATATTTTTCTCTCACCTTTCTGAACGCCTACTGGTGAGACGAAGATCCCGGAGCCGATGATACATCCCACAATCATTGAGACTCCATTCATGAGGGTCAGGGATTTGGCCAAGCCTTTTTCCTCCTCAAATTGCTCCACATCTTTCTCCGATTCTCTCGGTTTATCGCCAAGCAGGGCTTTATCGGTTTCTTTTTCCGTCTCAAGCTTGGCCATTTTGCTGAAAAAAACGTTGTTATTATCAAGGTCTTGATAGAAGTAGATAAAAAAAAGTTGCAGACTTTCAAAAAATCACATGTACGACCGCGGACATACGGCTGGTAAAATAGGTAGAAGTCCGAGTCAATGCGAGCAATGAGTAATTAAATATAATAGAGGCTAGATGTAAGCCAATGACTCGAGTTTTTTTTTTGAAGTGCAATCAATGAGAATTGGCTCAAATTAAAATCATCGTTTTTATGAATTCTGTCTGGATTTTGATTCCTAACTAGGCATGCAATATGCCGACAAAACAAAAAATGGCGTATATGTTAAACAAACAAAATTAATTATGAATTTTATTTCCCATGCTCTGAGCATGCTTTTTTATACCACTTTCTCACGAAACCGACGTATAAAATGACATATTTTTGTGTACATTTCACGTGTCAAAAGTCGCCAGAACTCATCGAAAACTGTCATAAGTAGTATTCTTTGTAAATAAAGTGGTTGCATTGCGATAAAAACTGATAAAACATAACAATTCGTACAAAAAACATGCGTTTTACCAAGATTTTCAATTAAACATTATCAGTCTCGGAAATCTATTTCACAAAATTTTGGCGATGATAAAACAAAAATAATTGTGTTTTTTGAATAAAAAGTAAGTAAAATAAGTAAATTTCAGATCTCTTTTTTAAAAAAAAGTATATCATCATGGATTCTCACACTTTTTTCTTCGGTCTGTGTAAACATTTATTCCCCAAGGTAAGCGGGCATTCCGCTTTTGTCACATTCTTTTTTCGACTTATTCTTTTTTTCCTCCGGGATTGGCGGGGGTGGGATGCACTTTAGGGGAAAATATAAAATTACCTTTGCGTAGAGAATTCTATTAACAGCCGCATTTGACAAATTTGTGTTTGCAATAATTTTAACTCAATTTTTGAGGGCTTTCCCGGACCTCGCCATGCGGGAAGTAGAGAATAAAAAATATTTTTTTTGCCCTGTGGTTAGCCAAATATCTAGCTCGCTGCGATGTGTTCCTTACAGCTCTGTGTCTTGCTAGCTTGGACTAGCCTTGATATAAGAGATACTTCTCGCAGTTTGCCCAAAGAAAGTTTAAAGCGAGCCTCTTTGATCTTTTCGCGGTGAATAATAGGGGTAGTCCTCGAAGTGCGACGCAAAGATTGCGTTTAAAAACTGTTGTGCATAGGTGATTTATCGACTTCTGCAAATTTTAGCTCGCGCTCTGCACAGCCATTTCAACGATCGCTACCGGCGAGAGGTGCGCGAAGCGCAGGGAGCCAGAGAAAAAACCCTTTTTTGGTCATATCTCTGGACAATTAACTTCGATATTCTAAACCTCAAATATTCCATTTCCGGGTTTTTTCACCTGCTACAAATGTTTTACAGTCTTGCAAACCACAATCGAAGTTATTACTGCCTGACCAAACCGTAATCTTAATTTGAGCCATGCTTCATCAATTCACATTTTTTGAGCTCTCGTGTTATATTTCATCAAAAAAAACGGTGGCTTTTTTATTCCTACTGTATTATCGCATCTTGTAGACTCCTGTTAGCCTTGTTTTAAAATTATTGTTTATACTACAAAAGGATTGAATAACAACCGCTTCTTCTTCTCTCATTAGTTCGCCCTAACCTTCGAGTCTAATTAACTTCCAGCGCATTTCCCGCACCCGTGCAGGTGGTATGCTTTGTGGACACATTGGGGGTTAATCTCTCGCCTCTGGGCGTTTCTATGACGCCGGCCCCACAACATTGAGTGTAATGTAACTTGCTTTCTCATAAAGGCTCAAATGAAGAGCAGCGGCTGCTCTTAATAGGGCTTATCGTGTTGGTGGGGAAATTGTAAAATACGGACCGTTTGAATGCATTCTTGACTAGATTTTTTTTGCAGAAACAAGCTCCAAAAAAAAGCTGGATCTTGCAGGACGGTGCGTGAAAAAAGCCTTGCCGCACTAACTTGAAGGGGGCGAGAGAGTATCGAAAATGACGAGCGAGAGAGTTGCAGAAGTAGGCACCTTTTACAGAGTGATTTTTGAGTCCAAGACAAGGGTTATGCACTTAGCCACCCCTTGAAACTCCCACAAGTAACGCTGAAATTCGAGGCTGCTAAACGGTGATGTACATTTTATAATTCTTGGTTTTGCGAATACCATAAAAACCCCTTTTCGAAATCGCGAATTTTTCAATGTCCACAAGATTTTTCTTATTTTTGTCGCACTTTTATTAAATACTAATCATCTGCAGTGCAATGCTCCCCCGCTAACAAATTGTAAATCCAGTTTATTTCCTGGTGGGCGTCCTCTACTTCCAAAAGATATTCATTAGAGTCTCGAGGAGTCACCGTTCTCTGTTCCATTGGAAGCCGGATGATCCGTGCCTACTTTGGCATACGTCAAATTCATGCAAGGAATGTAATACGCATGCAGACTGTTTTCTCTTATATTCGAAATATTTGTGTCCTCGGTAAAAATAATCGCGCAATTTTTAATACAAAACTTCAAGAAAGTGGCGGGCTTTGACCAACTTTCAGATAAAAAATCTCAGTTGTTTCACAAAACGCGAGTTAGAAATCTTGAATAAAGGGTAGGAAAAATTAAGAGAAAAATTTCGACACTTGTAGCGCTTGCCCTATGAGTTACATTTATTCTCTCATCCCCTAAAACTCGCCAAAATAATATGCAAGAACTAAAAGCCCAATAGAAAATGAAATGAAAAAAAGTAATCAAAAAATTCCGGAACCGAAAGATATGACGTTTCCTTATATACTGGCCGCCGGTCGGTTTGTTAGTTTTTCGTCTTAAGTTTTTGTTAAAGATCCGATTTATTTGATTAGAAAAAGTATCTTTGTCTACTTTGTATTGTCTTCAAACTTGCATATATAGTTTGAAAGAACGCAGAATTGGACTAAATTGGGACAAAATATACTACACGAGCTGTGAGAGGTTGGAATAAAAGAAAGGATATTTTGGGTAAACTCAGTAAAAAAATCGAAAAAAATCTTTGACTAGACATCTTTGTTCAACGGTTTTTATGTCACCAAAAATTAATATACATATATAGGGGTTAAAGAGTCCATTTTTGTCAGAATTGGCCCTTAGGCTCCTATGAAATTGTTTCCTATGGGTACCTTTCGTTGTACAGGAGTTCATTGTACAGAGGTTGGACTGTGACTCCTTTTTTGTGACTCCTTTTTACCAAATTAAATATCTGTTCGTATCTTGTCAAATCTATCACCAATTCTTAAAAAATACGTTACAACTTTTATCTCCTCTCTCATATTGCCCTATGTTTCCCCGAAAACAGCAAAATTGTACGCATTTCCCTACAATTTCCTCAATTTCGTTTCCATTTCCCCACATCTTGTCTGATGACAAGTATCATACTCAAATTTATGATAATGTGTACGTAACGTGCAATTACTCAAGAAAATCTTAAGCCTACAATCTGCTGTTACCGCGCTTTTAATTAGTAATTACTCATGCCTTTACTCGAAACATTTCAAATTTTATTTTTGGCCACAGTTCTTTGTGTGGCAAAAATTCAAATTTGTCAGGAATTTTTTGTCACATAAATCTTCGAAATGTCATTCGAGATTGACTTTAAAGCGCACTTTAAAACATTTTTACTGTCGCGAAAATGCGGAAGTAAGAGGCGGGATGTAAATACCGAGATTACTGGTAATGGTAACGGTCTTATGGGTATCATTGTTCGCGAAAAGTACACGTTTTCGAAGGGGGATTTGGTGTTGAAAGAGATTAGTGCGGAAGTGTAATGTGATTAGTAATAATTCTTCGGTTTGCAAAGAAACGAGAAATTAGTTTTTTTCCAAGGCAATTTTAGAGAAGGTGTTCTAGTAATGATGTCAAAAATAATATACAAAAAATTGGCATTGCGCTCGTTGTACGACGCTATGATTTTTACGAAACTTGGTATAGTTTAGACCCGTTATATGCGAAATTTCTAGCTCGCGCTTTCCAAAAAAACAAGTCGAATTCTTGGTATAAAAGTTATGTACAATATTAGGGTATCCCATAAGTCCTGTGTGTTTTTGGGTCGTCGATTTGTGCGAATTCCTGTGAGCTTTAAAATGCAGAACGAGATATGCTAAGGCTTCGCTTTTCAAGCTTAGAAATTACGCTTTTAAACCGTATATGATAAGGCTGCAAAAAATCTTCCTGCTACCCGCACTATCCCAATATTGTACTAGACGTTAAAACAATTTTTCTTGCTGATGCTAAAATGGGTATATAGTATTGGAAAATTAGATGCGTTCGCCTACTAAACGTGAAAATAGGAATGCACAAGAGCCCTGGAAAAGTGTAAGAGATGGCGGTTTCAATAGTACCAAACATTAAGAGGTGCATTCATTTAGAACTTCGCAATGAGACTTTAACTCTCAGACCCAAAAATACGCAAGACTTATGGGACACCCTAATAAAAGGTTGGCCTATTTCAAAATTGCAGATGATACGGCCAAGAAACTTTATTCTCTATCGTTTTTTGACATCTCTCCACCTTTTTTCGTACTTTATCCTCTACCTAGATTTTCTGAATCCCCAGGCTTCACCTGTTTTTCCCCATATTTCTCTAATACTATGCATAAACATCTGTATATATGTATGTATTTGTAATTAGAAATGCCCTCAGATTCCTCGCGAAATAGTATGTCCTTTCTTTTCCAGACAGTCTGCCATTTTTATTGTCACGTTCTCTTGAATAACTTCAATATCCAACCAGCCGTGTATATTTGTCATCGAAAATTAAAATCCTTGTGCACTCTACTCCGCGAAATTTTATCCCACAACAAAAACGGTCGGTTAAACTACCAATTCAAATACGTTTTCGGGGGGTCAGGGTTCAAAGGCCGGGTTGAAAATTTAATTTTTTGCGGAAAATTGTCTGGAAATAAAAAAAGACCAACTTTTTATCAAAAAATTTTGATTAAAATCAAGATTGGTCATTTTTTTAGAGAACTAAGAAATTTCTTCCTT